AATTGAGCATGGGGCCCACCTAGAAGACTTGTACCTAGGGCCCAGAATTTGGTGCTACGCCCCTGCCGCCGCGCTACAGGTGTATGACGTCATCGACGACTAGTCAATGTCGACTCGATTTTCATTACTTGACAGTTGACTTTAAAAAAAATTAAGTCATGCAGCCCCTAGTCTCCAGATCAGCTGACGCCCCTTTAGCTCCAATCAGCTGACGACCGCTTCGACACACTTTGCGGCTTAATTATAGTAACGTACGTATAACGCATAGGTAGTTACTCGTCTCAGAAAAATATAGTGAACCGACAGAACTGTTTAGAAAATTACAAGAAAGTTGTTGGATCATTATTGTTGCTTTAAAATTGAGTAGTGCGAACACGGAGCATTTCCCCAGCTGTTCGTCTGACTACATTCATAAACTACTGCTAAATGCAAAACACCATTCCGTCTGATGACGTCACTGCTTCACCATATTAGGAATTTAGCTTACCTTGACTTTATAAATCTTCAGGTGCGCAGATCAATAAAACAGGCGCTGAATGCGAGCAGCAGCAGTGAGATCAGAGATCCTAACACTAGAACTCCCAGCACGCTCTGATTCCCGAGCTCTACCAGAGCTTTGTCAAATGACTGCTTGGTTTGATCACAATGACTAAATCACTGATCAATGTAGACAGCCACAGATGATGGCCAATGGAATGTGCTTGGGTGTTGGGGGTTGTTCCTTCAGGCTAGCCCAGTGGCTTTACTTGTCTTGAATCTGGTCAACTGAACATATCCGTCCAAATACTTCACAGAAGCACACAAAGGACAAGAAAGGATTTTTTATGTAGCGCTTAATTTAAAAAAAGCATGAGTCTCTTCAAAAGAACAATAAAATTAAAAGAGGTAAAAATAGAATAAAAAATTGAAGATAAAATGAAGAATTAAGATAAAAAATTAGAATAAAAATGAAAAAAATAAGGTTAGCATGGGATCCTGAAAAATGTGGAAATGTTCATGTCCTCTGTCCTATGTTTCTTCCCCTCTTTCCCTATGCATCATTGCCATTTCTGTCCCTCTATTTATTATCTTTCAGCTTTCATACTCACACCCTTATTACAGGGTCAGTCCAGCCATTCCCAGCCCTAGCCTCTGATAATTTCAGTTTTTACTTCTCATCAGTTTTCACTTTCTTGTTTTTTGTGCAATTTTTGTGTCTTCATGTTTTATTTAGCTTCCGTTTTTGTGCCTTTGAGCACTGCGTGTTTCTTAGTTTAATTTTTTTGTTTGTTTTGTTTAGAGTCTTCTATTCTCCTGTTCTAGTCTTTTCCTCAGTGTTTTTCCAGTTGTGTTTACCAGTTGTTATCTGTTGTTGCTGACAACAACAACCTGCCACACCACACCCAGGGAAAGGGTCACGTGTCAGGTGACCATCCAGTGCAAGAACAATTGCGCGACACGCTGCATACACTGCTACAAGTATAATTGTGGAAGATGCAGGAAGGACATTGAGTGGGAGTGCCAGATATGTGGAAACAAATCAGTCAACTGAAAAATGAAACAATAATCACACCTAAACACACACACACACACACACACACACAATGGATCTTGAATATTTGTGACAATGTTTATTTTACTCTGAGCTGTAGATTTTTATGCGTGTTATTTTTGATCTTTTGGATTGAGTATGAAAATAAACAGAAAACTTAGCGGAAGAATGTGTGCAACTTTAAGTTCACTAAGGACCTTGCTTACGCACGTTTTGGACATGGAGAGCACCTGCAGTGCTGCTGCTGTGAAGGATAAAATTATGAAATCCTGCAGCATTATCACTTGTACTCTAGGTCGGATTATAATAAGGGCAAACTGGGCACAGGCCCAGGGGCCCACGCAAGCAGCAGTCTTTTTTTTGTGTGCAGCAGTCAACGTTGGAGAAAAAAGTTGACAAGTGATTAAAATTGCGCCCACATTTTCTAAGTTAAAACATAATTCTTTTAACAATGATAGTTTTTGCATCTTTACGGTTACCCTGCTTCAATCAGCCCTCTCCCCCCCTCCTCCTGCGCAGTGGCTGCAAACTCACTGATGCGCCTGCAGCCTCTCAGAGTTCCTGCTGCTCTAAACATTGAAAGAATAATTTCATTTTCTGTTCCTCATTTCTGATTACCTTCAATGGTGTCTGTTTGTTGCAACCACCAGGTACAAAAACAAACTAGTTTTTATGTGACTATTTTTCTGCCCTGTCTGTTATCTTCCTGCATCTCCTCTCAATCCTAAAGAAAAACTGCTACCTGGCTGCATATTTTTTCACCTCATGAATTACCTTTGAACTGCAGTTAAAAAATATCTACCGACCGCAAAAATAGCGGAGTGCGCCGAGAGCTGACCGCACCGGTGTGGTGAACTCACCGGAGGACGAAACAGGTGATGCGCTCCGCAGCAGCGAAACGCATCAGGCACAAATAACATGAAAGGATATGAGCCAGCATAAACGGTCAGGTGTTTAATATGTTTTTTGAGGTGGTGACACTTTGAGAATGTTACTGGGGCCGTGCTCAGGACGCAGCTGTCTGGAGACCGTCAACGATCAGAGCTCTGCACCTCTCAGCTCAAAATAATCCCTAGAGAGTCCACATAGATGATGTAATATAAGCAGAACCAGGATCCTTTTTGGGCTAAAAATAATCTACAGTCCATCTTCCCTAATTTCTTTGAACTGAGAACAACACAAACTCAACAGCACCTCTGTGCACAGTCACTGATGGCTATTGAATCTCAGCTTATCAGGAATCTGGACTTTGATGACATTGTAAAAGAATGTACCAATAGAAAGGCCAGAAAGCAGTTTTTCTGAAGGCAAGAGAGGAGACTAGCAAGAGGAGACAAAAAGATGAAGGAGACAGGAGACAAGGGGAGGAAGGAGACAGGAAGGAGACAGGAGACAAGGGGAGGAAGGAGACAGGAGACCAGACGAGGAAGGAGACAGGAGACCAGACGAGGAAGGAGACCAGACGAGGAAGGAGACAGGAGACAAGACGAGGAAGGAGACAGGAGACAAGACGAGGAAGGAGACAGGAGACAAGAGGAGTAAGGAGACAGGAGACAATACGAGGAAGGAGACAGGAGACAATACGAGGAAGGAGCCAGGAGACAAAAGGAGGAAGTAAACAGGAGACAAAAGGAGGAAGGAGACAGGAGACAAGATGAGGAAGGAGACAGGAGACAAGATGAGGAAGGAGACAGGAGACAAGATAAGGAAGGATACATGAGACAAGAGGAGGAAGGAGACAGGAGATAAGACGAGGAAGGAGCCAGGAGACAAGACGAGGAAGGAAACAGGAGACAAGAGGAGGAAGGAGAAAGGAGACAGGAGACAAGATGAGGAAGGAAACAAGATACAAGAAGAGGAAGGAAACAGGAGACAAACAAAAAACATGCAGATATTTCATGTTTACAAACTTTTCAATAACTGTATAATCTTTTAAATAATCCTGCGTTACTTTCTGTTGTAGTTGGACAGTGGGATCCATTTTACAGCAGACTCACTCGCCCCCACTGTCCCACAGATTGACAACATTTTTGTTATTACAGAAAGAAGAGAAGACAGGAGTGCTGTGAGGAAGAGAGAGAGAAAAAGAGGAGAAAAGAGAAAGGACAGAGGAAGAAAGACATATGAGTGAGGCACAACAAGAAAATGGTTATAAAACAATTTTGACCTGGAGGTAAATGCATTTGTATCAACATAAGTACGTGATTTTTAATATTGACAATGTTATGAAATGTCTAAAAAGTGTTACTGGGTGACAGTAATGTTGGGGGAGGCCGGGTGGGGTGGAGGGCACAGGGGCCCCTGCAATGAAAATCTGACCCTGCTTGTGCTGCTTCCTTTTCACACCGAACAAGACCCCCCACATGTACACACACACGCACGCCTACACACACATGCACGCGCGCGCACGCACACACACACACACACACACACACAGCCTGAAGTGTAGAATACGGAATGCAGAATTCAAATTCAAATTCAAAAAAACTTTAATCATCCCCGAGGGGCAATTGTTTCAGTACAGAAGAATTGGTACTGTGGTCATTCGCAACAAGAGCTGCGCTACATGAGTATATCAGCAGGGGGACAGATTGACACAGAATGCCATGTGTCTGTGACAGTGTGTGTGTCCTGTCACTGTGACCCAATTGATCATGTGCTCTGGCTACTTGGACAAGGAAGATCTCTGTTTGGCTGATTGATTAGCATGGATGACTTTCACCTGGAAGTCTGGGGATCAAATCCTGATTGGACCATTTTCTTTATATCCGCCACAGATCTCTCTGAAGAATTCACAACATTGACGGCTTCAGCAACGCTGTGCCACTCCGTGGATTTTCTCTTATTTGTTTTGCAAAAGCACTTCCTTTCATTTCTCCACCTCACCCACAAGTACCTCAATTTCTGCTTCTGTGAAATTGCGCTTCCTTGATCTGCCTTGATCTACGGTCACCATCGATATTGGTGGAGCGCTGCAACAGCCGGCTTATGTATATGCATGAGGTCCACAAGGCACTTTGCATTGAATATTTATGACAGTAAGTGGGCGTGGTGAGGGCGGGATGTGACTAAAATGCAGCTGAGAACCATTCTCGTTAGTCTCTGATTTATGAAACGGAGATTGCGTGCAGCTGTGCGTACTCCATGTTTGATAGATCACAAACCTACTTGGCGTAAGTACTTTTTTTTGTTGCTGAGCTTAAGTACGGCTTTAGCAAGGATTCTACGCAATGTTTGATAAATGAGACCCCAGTGCAGGGCTGCTTTGTTGTGTGTGTGTCATGAAATAGGCGTACCCGGAATCCGTGCAATGACAAAGGTTCCGCCTTTTTGAATTTCAAGCTGTGATTAAATGCATGAACTTTAACACGTCATTTGTTTCTAATTAATCATAATTAACGCGTTAAAGACCCACCCCCAGTAAACACACATTTCTATGTGTAAAATGTGTGATTAAATGTGGAATTACCTGTCATTTGATGTAGGAGTTGGACTAATGATGGATGAGTTCTTCCTGTAAAACAAATATCAGAACTATTTGATCGCAGATATAAACTAATAGAATAATCATACATTTTAGTTCTAAAAAAACATTGAAACTTAATTAAATATAAAAATTTTGTGGTATGTAAAATTAAAGTAATTAGTACTATTACTAGTACTATTTTCAAGAATTTTTGTTGGTTACTTTCTGGTTGCCTGATTGAATGCACCTGCCATTTGAACCTTTATTTTTCTTTGCACTCAATCAGTCATTAAAGGTGCAGTATGTAATAATATAGGAATGATTTTACAGTGAAAAAATCCCAAAAGAGTCTAATGTTTCAGTCATTTAGGAAGGAAGGTTACATTGAAACATATTTCAAATCCAGCTGGCTGCAGAGATTGTAGTTTGTCTCCTTTTAAAACATAGGAAGGAGGGACATAACTATTGTTTACCACCAGTGTGGGGGTGCCGTGTCTCCTGAGAGCTAATGCTACAGCGCCAACAATTGTAATCAGACGATGGCTGGCAAAAAGCTCCAGAGTTGCTTAAAGTGGTTGCAGTAACCACATTTTAGCGCAGGATGTCATTTTACTACATTTCTACATAATGCACCTTTAACCGTTTACACATTATTCAATTTTATCATTTAGATTCATCCTTTCCCCCAAACTGTAAGGTTTGTAATCTAATGTGAGAATAAAAACCTGTTATCTGTTGTTGCAGCAGGTGGAGCAGTACCGGATGAGTTCCTATAAAAGTCAGAAATTTTTGAGAGGACACAAAATACATTTTCTATTTTATCAATATTCATATAGGCTGCTTCTTGTAGACTATTTTCACAAAATCATATAAAACAAGTCTGGTTTTATGCATCCGGATTATTAGAATCTGCCATAATCCAGTTATGTCATCTGCCCTCTGGTGGAGAATCTATGCATTAGATGCCGCAACAACGAAATGTGTCAAATTAGTGTTCAGTCGTGGGCTTACCTGATGTTTGTTGCAGGATGTGGAGTAATGCTGGGGGAGTTTCTGCAGAAGTCAGTATCAGTATTATTTTGACAAGAAAATTTAAGTATTTATCAAATGTACAAATCAAACCTGTCATCTGTGGTTGTAGGAGATGGGCTGATAGTGGAGAAGTTGCTGTAAAAACAAAATATGCATTATTCACAGCAGGATTAACTTCATAAATTACAGATTACTCAGTAAATAAAGTAAATTAAAGAGCTCTGGAAAAGATCTCACTGGAATAACATGAGGTTTTCTGATGAAATGAAATCAACTTGGTTAGGTTTTAAAGTTTAGTCATTTAAAATAATTTTGTTTTCCAATTTTCATCAATTTATTTGAGCTTAAATTGTCATTTTTTAAGTTTTTTGTAGCTTTCTGATCACCAGTAAAATAAAAACTAATTACTATTTAAACAATATTCATACTTTACATTTCTATAGCAATATTTTTCGAATGTGGGAATAAAACCTGTTTTCTGTTGGAGGAGGCGGACTGATGCAGGAGGAGTTTCTGTGAATATTTTGACAGAATAAAGAAGGGAACAAATTAAAGACACAATAGATAAACTTCAAACTATTTTATTTTGCAACCATTTATTGGACTCTAACTTTATGCACTTGGACGTACAGTGGCCAAACTCCTCAGAAACAGTTTGGACGTGTAATTTCAGCCTATCTCCATGACATGAGCAAACATGTTTATTGTGTCACCGAAAAATGGTACAAATGCCCTGCAATGTTGTGTTTAAGCCCACACATTTAGCTGTGATGTTCATTTGATGGATGCATGAATCTTGCAAGTTTAACTTCATCTTAAAATTGACAAACTGTTTAACTTTCATTCATAAAAACAATCATTACATTATCAACGTCTGTATTGAAAATGTACGCTCCAACAGCAAACCTTCTGTGTGAAATGCATGTTCAGTTATAATATTTACCTGCAGTTGTCGGTTGTAGGAGGTGGACTAACGGTGGAGAAGCTTCTGTAGAAAACAACAGCAGAAAGAAATTTTAAAAGTTGCGTTTTGCAGTAGATGAAAAATTAACTGAATGTTTTTTCTTTTGGTGTAATATTTTGTTCTTTAACCATCCATCCATCCATCCATCCATCCTTTTTCATCCGCTTAAGGCGAGAGGCCCAGACCTCCCTCTGCACCTGCAGTGCTGCTGCCGAGAAGGATACAATTATGACATCCTGCAGCATTATCACTTGTACCGCTTCGTTTTCACACAGAACAAGACCCCCCACACGCACACACACACGGGCGCGCACACACACACACAGCCTGAAGCGCAGAATACGGAATGCAGAACATCAGCAGGGGGACGTTGAGACAGAATGTCATGCGTCTGTGACAGTGTGTGTCTCCTGTCACTGTGACCCAATTGATCATGTGCCCTGGCTAGTTGGACAGGGGAGATCTCTGTTTGGCTGACTGGTTAGCATGCATGACTTTCACCCGGGAGTTGGGGATCAAATCCTGATTGGACCATTTTTTTAATATCCGCCACAGATCTCTCTGAAGAATTCACAACATTGACGGCTTCAGCAACGCTGTGCCACTCCGTGGATTTTCTCTTATTTGTTTTGCAAAAGCACTTCCTTTCATTTCTCCACCTCACCCACAGGTACCTCAACTTCTGCTTCTGTGAAATTGCGCTTCCTTGATCTGCCTTGATCTTCGGTCGCCATCGTCATTGGTGGAGCTCTGCAACAGCCGGCTTATGTATATGCATGAGGTCCACAAGGCACTTTGCATTGACTATTTATGTCAGTAAGTGGGCGTGGTGAGGGCGGGATGTGACTAAAATGCAGCTGAGAAACATTCTCGTTAGTCTCCGATTTATGAAGCGGAGATTGCGTGCAGCTGTGCATACTCCATGTTTGATAGATCACAAACCTACTAGGCGTAAGTACTTTTTTTTTGTTGTTGCTGAGCTTAAGTACGGTTTTAGCAAGGATTCTACGCAATGTTTGATAAATGAGACCCCAGAGCAGGGCTGCTTTGTTGTGTGTGTGTCATGAAATAGGCGTACCCGGAAACCGTGCAATGACAAAGGTTCTGTCTTTTTGAATTTCAAGCTGTGATTAAATGCATGAACTTTTTTAACATGTCATTTTTTTCTAATGAATTAATCATAATTAATGCGTTAAAGTCCCACCCCCCAGTAAACACACATTTCTATGTGTAAAATGTGTGATTAAATGTGGAATTACCTGTCATTTGATGCAGGAGGTGGACTAATGATGGATGAGTTCTTCCTGTAAAACAAATATCAGAACTATTTAATCGCAGATATAAACTAATGGAATAATCAAACCTTTTAGTTCCAAAAAAAAACATTGAAACTTAATTAAATATAAAAATTTTGTGGTATGTAAAATTAAAGTAATTAGTACTGTTACTAGTACTCCTTTTCAAGAATTTTTGTTGGTTACTTTCTGGTTTCCTGATTGAATGCACCTGCCATTTGAACCTTTATTTTTACTTTGCACTCAATCAGTCATTAAAGGTGCAGTATGTAATAATATAGGGATAATTTTACAGTGAAAAAATCCCAAAAGAGTCTAATGTTTCAGTCATTTAGGAAGGAAGGTTACATTGAAACATATTTCATATCCAGCTGGCTGCAGAGATTGTAGTTTGTCTCCTTTTAAAACATAGGAAGGAGGGACATAACTATTGTTTACCACCAGTGTGGGGGTGCCGTGTCTCCTGAGAGCTAATGCTACAGCGCCAATAACTGTAATTAGACGATGGCCGTTAACAAGCTCCAGAGTTGCTTAAAGTGGTTGCAGTAACCACATTTTAGCGCAGGATGTCATTTTACTACATTTCTACATAATGCACCTTTAACCTTTTACACATTATTTAATTTTATGATCATTTAAATTCATCCTTTCCCCCAAACTGTAAGGTTTGCAATCTAATGTGAGAATAAAAACCTGTTATCTGTTGTTGCAGCAGGTGGAGCAGTACCGGATGTGTTCCTGTAAAAGTCAGAAATTTTTGAGAGGACACAAAATACATTTTCAATTTTATCAATATTCATATAGGCTGCTTCTTGTAGACTATTTTCAAAAAATCATATAAAACAAGTCTGGTTTTATGCATCCGGATTATTAGAATCTACCATAATCCAGTTATGTCATCTGCCCTCTGGTGGAGAATCTATGCATTAGATGCCGCAACAACGAAATGTGTCAAATTAGTGTTCAGTCGTGGGCTTACCTGATGTTTGTTGCAGGATGGGGAGTAATGCTGGGGGAGTTTCTGCAGAAGTTAGTATCAGTATTATTTTGACAAGAAAATTTAAGTATTTATCAAATGTACAAATCAAACCTGTCATCTGTGGTTGTAGGAGATGTGCTGATAGTGGAGAAGTTGCTGTAAAAACAAAATATGCATTATTCACAGCAGGATTAACTTCATAAATTACAGATTACTCAGTAAATAAAGTAAATTAAAGAGCTCTGGAAAAGATCTCACTGGAATAACATGAGGTTTTCTGATGAAATGAAAACAACTTGGTTAGGTTTTAAAGTTTAGTCATTTAAAATAATTTTGTTTTCCAATTTTCATCAATTTATTTGAGCTTAAATTGTCATTTTTTAAGTTTTTTGTAGCTTTCTGATCACCAGTAAAATAAAAACTAATTACTATTTAAACAATATTCATACTTTACATTTCTATAGCAATATTTTTCGAATGTGGGAATAAAACCTGTTTTCTGTTGGAGGAGGCGGACTGATGCAGGAGGAGTTTCTGTGAATATTTTGACAGAATAAAGAAGGGAACAAATTAAAGACACAATAGATAAACTTCAAACTATTTTATTTTGCAACCATTTATTGGACTCTAACTTTATGCACTTGGACGTACAGTGGCCAAACTCCTCAGAAACAGTTTGGACGTGTAATTTCAGCCTATCTCCATGACATGAGCAAACATGTTTATTGTGTCACCGAAAAATGGTACAAATGCCCTGCAATGTTGTGTTTAAGCCCACACATTTAGCTGTGGTGTTCATTTGATGGATGCATGAATCTTGCAAGTTTAACTTCATCTTAAAATTGACAAACTGTTTAACTTTCATTCATAAAAACAATCATTACATTATCAACGTCTGTATTGAAAATGTACTCTCCAACAACAAACCTTGTGTGTGAAATGCATGTTCAGTTATAATATTTACCTGCAGTTGTCGGTTGTAGGAGGTGGACTAACGGTGGAGAAGCTTCTGTAGAAAACAACAGCAGAAAGAAATTTTAAACGTTGCGTTTTGCAGTAGATGAAAAATTAACTTAATGTTTTTTCTTTTGGTGTAATATTTTGTTCTTTAACCATCCATCCATCCATCCATTCATCCGCTTATCCGGTGTCAGGTCGCGGGGGCAGTAGCCTAAGGCGAGAGGCCCAGACTTCCCTCTCCCCAGCCACTTGGGCGAGCTCCTCCGGGGGAATCCCAAGGCGTTCCCTGGCCAGGTGAGAGACATAGTCCCTCCACCGTGTCCTGGGTCTTCCTTTAGGTCTCCTCCTGGTTGGATGTGCCCGGAAAACCTCACCAGGGAGGCGTCCAGGAGGCATCCTGACCAGATGCCCGAGCCACCTCAACTGGCTCCTCTCGATGTGGATGAGCAGCAGGTCTACTCTGAGCCCCTCCCGAATGACCGAGCTTCTCACCTTATCTCTAAGGGAGAGCCCAGCCACTCTTCGGAGAAAACTCATTTTGGCCGCTTGTATCCGCGATCTTGTTCTTTCGGTCACTACCCAAAGCTCGTGACCATAGGTGAGGGTAGGAATGTAGATCGACCGGTAAATCGAGAGCTTCGCCTTCTGACTCAGCTCTCTCTTCACCACGACAGACCGGTACAACGCCCGCATCACTGCAGATGCAGCACCAATCCGCCTATCGATCTCACGCTCCAGTTTTCCCTCACTCGTGAACAAGACCCCGAGATACTTAAACTACTCCACTTGGGGCAGGACCTCATCCCTGACCCGGAGAAGGCATTCTACCCTTTTCTGAATCAAGACCATGGTCTCAGATTTAGAGGAGCTGATTCTCATCCCAGCTGCTTCACACTCGGATGCAAACCGCTCCAGCGAAAGCTGAAGATCACGTTCTGATGAAGCCAACAGGACCACATCATCTGCAAAAAGCAGAGACCTGATCCTCAGGCCACCAAAACGGATGCCCTCCACAACTTGGCTGCGCCTAGAAATCCTGTCCATAAAGGTTATGAACAGAATCGGTGACAAAGGGCAGCCTTGGCGGAGTCCAGCTCTCACTGAGAACGAGCCCGACTTGCAATGCGGACCAAGCTCTGACACCGGTCATACAGGGACCTAACAGCCCGTATCAGAGGGCCTGGTACCCCATACCCCCGGAGTACCCCCCACAGGACCCCCCGAGGGACGCGTTTAAATTTCTTCTCCAAATATTTTACATACGAATTTCCAGGTGCATATAAAAGCACGTATCTGCCATTTAGACCAAAGTTATTCCAGAATATTATTAAAAATGACAACAATCTTTGGCTTGATTACAAAATTATGTTGATGGTTTACATCCCAGATTTATTTCAAGCTTTGCTTCAAAAGATCATTAAACGAAACCATGCTTACAACCTGAAACACTCCTCACCCTGTTGAGTTAAGGTCCTTTGAATAAATTGTAGGAAGAAATGAAAGATGTAAACTTGTCACTGTTCTCACTTCAGGACATGGTAAGATGCTTCCATTAACAAGAGGCGTGAGATCTAATAAAAACAAAACACACACAAAAAAAGATGAAAGAATTAGCAAACAGATGTTCAATACTTCAACTTTTTGGGACTCATACCCGTCCCTAGCCTAAAAATCTAGATAACTGTGGTGGTAGCAAAAGTTTTAGCTCTGCAGATTAGTCTATCCACGCTTCTTTGTAGCCTCTGCATTGGCCAATCACAACACTCCATGCTTGTTCAGAGACTTTGAGCGGGCTTACCCAGTCTTTCCACTGGATGCATAAAAGGTGCATAATGTAATAAACTCATTTCACCCATGCTGCTCTCTCTGTAGAGAAACAGGGTCCAACCCAACATGTTTTTTTTGGGGGGGGGGGGGGGGGGGGGGGAGACTATTCCTTTAAGACTCAATGCACAAACAGGAAGTGCTTGGTAGTAATTCCACTCCAATCCAGTTGGTGGCAGCAATGCACCAAATTGCCAAATTGCCAAGTGCCATAAAACCACAAATAAGAAAAAGAAGAGAAAGCAGAAAAAGAAGAAGAGAGGCGGGACGTTCGTGACAAACTCGAAGCGGTAGTAAAAACATCAAGCATGAAATGGAGTTATCCTAGTGGCTCCAATAAGAGACAGAAGCAGCTTGCTTTAAAAAAGCTTTTATCTTCACTTCTGAAAGTGACGTAGTTTTCTATGTAAACATCAAAAGGAAGCAGAAAGGAAAGACAATGGAAAATGTTTAAAGGGAGGAAAACACAGACCAAAATGGAAAATAGAAGAGAAAAAAAAGAAAGTCAAAAGCACAGGAGCACTGACAGGAAGAGGAAAGTAGAGCAAATATTGAAGCACTCAAACGGAGGGAAAGACAGGAAAAAAGAGGAGGACTAATAAAACGTGAAAATAACTCGTGTCAGAAGAGGGGAGAGTTTCGCAAATCCAATTAAATATAAGATTGTCAAAAAATTTGTGTAAGGGGGTCCCATGTCTGTGTTCGCCTTGGGCCCCCAAATTGCTAAATCCGCCACTGGTCAAATGCGTGTGTCTCATGCTCAGTGTGAGAGTTGGCAGCCCTGAAGATGGCATTCACTCAGGAACGGTGTCGGGTTGAAGCGGCTTTGCTACCAACTTTCAACTTGGGCTTTCCTTTGAGACATGAGCAGATAGAGGTACTTATAAGTAGCCTGGCAAGCCAGACTAAATAAATGTATTATTTAGTCTGGCCATGCTCCATTGACGGCTCTCGGTTGTGGGGCGGGTTCTATCGTTGTCTTTCAAATGATCTCCACATGCCACTGGACAATGAATGTGACATACTCTTGTTTCACTCCGTCCCACCCACCAGGCATATAGAGTGCCCTGATTGGCCCACAAAGCGGATAAAGCTCTGTGATTTGTTCACTAAGCAGATAGAGCACTATGATTGGCCCACCATTATGGACCAGTCACAGCTCTTTATGTGTTTGAAACCCCTCTAGAGAGCTGTGATTGGCCAGCCAGAGTCCTGGTAGGAGCTGCTGAGGTTCCAGTGGAGCATGCCTAGACCATTCTTTGCAAAGCAAGAATTTGGTCTAGTTCACTAGGCTAACTTATAAGTCCTTTTTTTCAAAAAGGATGCCATTGCTTCTTCTTCGACAGTGTACGGCAGGCTGCCCCGTTGACTGATTTCCGTAGTGATGAATACGTCACATTGTTTGTTGCTCTGATTGGTTCTAGTGCTGTCCAACATGCAAAGACATTTTTAAAGTCAGCTGTGGATTCCGCCCCACAACCGAGCTCTGCTTATGTAACCCTCATATATTTACAGGATATTTATATATACAGGATGCTTGCCAGGCTAACCAGCATCTGGTCTTCCGCCTCACCCAACCTGCTTCTTGTTTAAACAAAAAGTTGTTTCAAAGATTCAGAAGTAAAAATAATGTAAAGTCATGAAAAAAGCCTAATCAAATCTCACCTGGTCAATATGAATAAATGTTTTCAGTCACTGATTAATTCACAGCAGTTATTATGTGTTTTCACAAGCCGATTCAAATATTTAAGATGAAAAAGCTGCTATTCCTTACTTACCGTCAAAGCTGAACATGAAAACAGCGCTCCCTCCTCTGAGAAAGTCTCTGTATTGCATCTCTTCCAAAGCTGCAAACCGTAGGAACCCCCAGAGGAATCCAGTACGGACCAACTCAGTGTTATTGTATAAAAATGTTGTCCCAGTCTCGTTAGGATGGTTCCAGATGAGAGTGTCTGTTTATGTGAAACATGCATGGCACAAGAAAAGAGAATAAGTTTTTGTTTTTGACTCTTTCTTTTAAAAAAATCTCTCTTTTGGTTTATTCTTTTTCTCAGTTACCATTTGCATCCTCGTCATCTTTCTCAGTGGTGAAAGTCCATCTCTGTGACATTTGCTGTTGCATGTTGGGGGTTTGATCCAGCAATTGGAAAGTCATTTGCCTGTGCACACAGGGCCACTCCAGCTGGTCGTCATTCACACCAGATACGAGTTGAACAAACATTCCAACGTATGTTTTGTTAAGTACCACAGCTAACCGGTAAGCATAGCCGTCTTTGGAGTACAGCCGTGGACTGTAAAGTCTTTCTCCGGACTTACTGGTGTTTAAAACATTTTCAAACTCATCAATCTGCATGATCACATGTGGACATTCTGTCTCAGAGAGATTGATGTCATCGATTGAGAATCCGCCCGAGGAGTTCTCTGCTTTCTTAATCTCAAACACGACCTGAAAGTTCTTGGTGGCATTCAGAGAGACATGGTGGACCTTCCAGTAAGATGTTGGTCGACCTGGACAGAAGATTTATGGATTAACCATTTAAAATTCACTTGGTGTACAAGTAGAAATGCAAAGTGTCAAACGATACCAGTGATGTGTCCCATAAGGCGGAAGGTTCCCGTGGTGTTTTGTTCATCTTCGAACTCTCTGATCCCGATGTTGAGAGAATCAGACTCATTCCCAGTGTAATAGTAGTAGAACTGCAGACACTGGACTTTACATTCCCTCTTAGGTCTCATTATCTGGGTCATAAGCACTCCTGGATCTTCCTCTTGACCTGATGTGTTAACATGGATGAAATATCCTTCTTCCTGACCTAGAATGGTGTCCAAAATAATGTTATGGTAGCTATTTGCATTAAAACATTAATCATCTATTTTCTTTGTCAGGACAATGTCTCTTGTCTTCGTGGAAGAGGCTGGAGCTAAACTTGTGCTGCAGCCAGGGGCGGCTCAAGCCCCGGATGTTTCATGGAAAGCCCCGGATCTAAATCGCGGAAGCAACATGCAGTACCAAAGTCCAACAGAGAGGGAGCAGCTGGCAGTAGTTTGTATACAGCCTGCCTGAGCCTCCACCACTGAAGAAGAAGCCCTTCAGCAGTCGGCTTCTTCTACACTCTCTGCCTGAAACGCATGAGTGAAGATGGACATAAGGACGTTTTTAGACCAAAAGTACGGCGACAGAACCCCAGCTTTGATGAGACTGGTGTTGACTCAGGTTTGTGAGTCTTATTTGAAAATATTTGTTGTGCTGCTGGTTTGCCTAAAGTTAGCTTACTATCAGGTAAAGTTGTTGGAGAAAGAAAGGGAATATTTACTATCATCTCACACTAAACACTAACAGGAACAATACTCTGCCCTGAATATGCTTAATATGGAGCTTCAGATTAAAAATTATGTGGTACAAGACACATATATGATGTTGACTAGTGCGTGTCACGTGTGTGTGTGTGCGTGCGCGTGTGTGTGTTAAGCCCCGGATCTTCATCAGTCCTAAATCTGCCCCTGACTGCAGCCAGCCACAGTACGTTCTTCCAATGAGTGGAACAATAAAAAAAGAAAAGAAACTGAACCAAATTGTGAAAGTTTAGTCTTCTTTATACAGATAGTGGTGGGAATTTCTTGTGAGTTTTTTTTTATGGCAAGTCTCTTTTTTTCTGTTCCCTATCCCACACTAAGACACACCACACACATTGTAGAAAAACAATCATAAAACCCACGATACATCTTAGAACTATTTCTTAAACTTTAGTAAAAATTTGATTTACAAAATTTTACAAAAATTCTTTATTTGATACGTTCAAAACCTCACCGTGTTCTCCATTTCCACTGGGTAGACTGGTATGGTCAGTAGTTGGGCCACCACTAACTTGTGTAACCACTTCCCAGCCACTTCCACTCTGGTTCATTTCACACATGGTCCCATTAGAAAATCCACAGTAAAACATAAAAGCGACGGTTGAGCCTGTGATGATGATGAAGATGATGATGATGATGATGATGATGATGAAAAAGAAGAAGATTTTTAATTATAAGGCTCTGCAGAAACCTGCTAATCACCTGCTGATTTAAATCAGGTTTGTTGAAACCGGGTTAAAACTAAAACTTGCTGCATACCGGCCCTCCAGGACCAGGATTGGTCACCCCTTGAAAGACCAGTTTGCAATTTTTTTTCAACACATTTGCAGTGGTCTCTAGTATAAATTAATGTCTTGTGTCACTCTGTGGGAATAAAGCTCTGGTGCGCCTGTTTCAGGAACTAGACGTGAGCTAGAGCAGAGGCAGAAGATGGCAGGATTTGGAGTCTCGTTTCCTGATATTCGGACATCTCTCCTCTGATTGGATAACAGCAACAAGACTTTACCACTGACTCTGTTTGCTCTGCACCAGATGTTTTATCTCCACAAGTAACACAAGCCTGAAGGAGTTCTGCTGTGTGGTGGAGTTTCTAACGCTAACAGTTAGCTTCTACTAGCCGAGACATGCTCTGCTCTCTCCTGGATGCTAAATCAACTACAGCCTTCCACGTCGTGAACCTAGAGGCGGATGAGTCCACAAACGCTAATTTTTAATGTGACGTAGAATTTGCTGGTTTTTCTAACCTGAGTGTTTCTCCATCTATTTTCTATTTGTGGCTAATGCAGGGAATAAGAGTAGAAAACTGTTTCCACGTTTAGCTTACATGCTAAACTCAGAGGGACTTATCCTATTTCTAAATGTTTCTCTGTGAATTTGTCTTGAAGCCACATTTACTCTCTGAAGGACCTTTACAAGTTTTGTACATGCAAAAGAATTTTATACCTTTATACAAATGTCTGTGTACAATGTGAATTTCCTTTTCATACAATAGTATTGTTAGTCACTTACACCAAATCAAAGCTCCTGAGTCACCCAAAGTAAGCAAGTTGAGTTTAAAATTTAAGGAAAGGAACAATTCAGATTATTCTTAGGTGTGTTCTTGCTGTGTCGTATCTCTAATTCCATGCTGTAGTTCTTTTTTAAAACACAGAGCAGTTTTGTTTACCTGTTTTCCCGCTACGTTTCGTTTGCGGCTGCAAACTTCCTCAGGCTGACGCTGATGGTGGCGTCACTTCCTTCTCCGTTCATCCGCGGGCAGCAGAGGACGTTGTCGCCCTCTGCTGCCCGCTCTCCCCTCTCCGAACACCGAACAACAAAAATACAAAAGACGGATAAAAGAAGCTATTGAGATAAGGAGACGTGGATGTGGGACCATGAACAGGGACGATGGAGTTTACACGTTGGACCGCGCATGGGACTGCATCGTCGGAGAGGGAAGAGCGGGCAGCAGAGGGCGACAACGTCCTCTGCTGCCCGCAGATAAACAGAGAAGGAAGTCACACCACCATCAGCATCAGCCTGAGGAAGTTTGCAGACGCAAACAAAACGTAGCGGGAAAACAGGTAAACAAAACTGCTCTGTGTTTTAAAAAAGAACTACAGCATGGAATTCAGATTATTAAAACGGTTAATTTTCCTTGAGTACTGGAACCGTTTTAAATGATCTTTAATCTTTAAGCACTTACTGCAGTTGTAGAGGAGATTTAACTCTATAGCATCGCCAGGACTCAGATCTAGCCTTTGACCAATCAGGTCTTGGTATTTTGGGTCTATAGTGGTAATCGTAGAGGCGCTTCCATTGCTGAATGCATTTTTGGGATAGTGCATCACTGACCAGTAGTCATACGGGGTTTCATGGGTGGTGCTGTTTTCGCTCCCAATGACAGCAAAATTATACTCAAGACCTGTAAGTCACAATAATGTAAAATAAATTAAATCAGTTCAGAATATCTTAAAAATTACATGATGTGACAATTTACCTCAAATATTGAAATAAAGAAGTAAAAAGAATATTATGATAAAAGGGATGAACCTTCTAAGATGCTGCCTTCGTCAATCTGCACATAATCATCTCTGTCAGATCTACAATGTTCGTGGTTGAAACCAAGAGCATGGAGAACCTCATGTTCAACGGTGGAGAGGGAATCACAGCCTGTTCCAATGGAGAGGTTTTGTCCGTTGAGATGTTCTCTGCCAACATATGAAAAACACCTAAAAACGGGGGGGGGGGGGGTGGGGGGGGGGAATCAAAATTATTACTTTATACCAGGGGTGAGAATTTAGTACGTTACGATTTTTAAAAATGTGTTTTTCCTAAATGAGGGCCGTAACAGTTTATCATCACAATTCATGCCCTATAAATAAATAAATAAATATCATCTAATAAAACAGCAGAGCCTGGGCTATAAGACCATGTAAACCTTTTTGATGTGCTCCAAACACAACTAACAGCAATTAAATGAATCATGACAAATCGCTCTTTATGAAGAAAAGAAAGAAAGAAAAAATAAAAAACTTTTTCTCAGCGTTTATGTTTTCTGGTTGGTAGAAAGCAGGCGGGCAGTGACTTTGTCCATATGAACTTTCTTGCAGCAGGAGGGAAACACACACACACAGCAGTCATCTTCATCACCCTCGGCAGAACTTCCACTGAACTCTACACTACACCTCCATATATACTGTATTAGCAGTGCTCTGCTGCCACCTAGTGTTCAGTTCAGTAGACCACTTTTACAATGATCCACGTCTATTTACACTTCATCACATATACTAATATTTACACATCTCAATTTACATGTCCCATTATATGAGACCATAGTAATCAAACAGACCTTTTGGTTACAGAAACATACTCATTAAAGTGTGGGTGTGTCATAAGTGCCTCACTAACATTTTTTTTTAATTATCCATAAAACATGCCTGACATCTAATGGGACCCATTGTTTCCTCTAAAAAAGACTAAATATCTTTTAAAAGGCAACAATCCTTTGGTAGCAGATGTCTGACGTTATAACTGGAGCACTGAAGCTTTCATTAATGAATTGTGAGTCTGGCACATTCTGCAGCAGCTCGATTGGACTGGGATCAGAAGAATTCAAAAGCCAACTTGAAGACATTGTGAGGTACTCAAAAGAACGGAACAGATTGTTCTATACTTTTAAACATTTTGTGTGCAAGAATGTTTCGTATTTCTTGCAACTGATAACAGACAGGACAGTGTTGTGCAAGCTGCACCAGATCTGCACATATTTCTAAAGAAGCTCAGGTGGAAGCTTCAAATGATCTGCAATGTGAAACCAGCACAGGTTGCTTCTGCTTACAGCCGTTAACCCTCTCAGGCTCAAATTAAGTCTTGATAAAAGGACAGACAACTAAGTCCTTCAGGGGTACTTCTGAGTTTAAAAACGCTCATGAAATACGAATGTGGAGTAACCAGGTAGGTGGGTTTTAACTGTTGCAAATCTGCAACGCCTGCCTCCAGAGGGTTAACCGGGACTCTGCTTCATCAAACATTCTGGTTCAAAAATGTTTTCCAAAAACATTAACAATTCCAAGTGCATTCCCACCGAGGACTGGAAAAAGGCTGATGTTTTAGCTGAAAGTTTTGAAATCATACAATTCGACATTTATTCAATTTTAAATTAAAAAAAAAGAACCACTGGTGCTTCTTTTCTGTCAGGGTATTATAGAGTATCGTATTTAGCTTTTGAAAATAGCACTGAGGTATAGGCCCTGTCCACACGTAGCCGTGGATCTGCCAAAACGTAGATAATTTTCTACGTTTTGGCCTGTCATCCACACGAAAACGGAGTTTTTTCACACAAAAACGGATCTTTTTAAAAACTTCGGCCAAAGTGAAGATCTGCGTTTTCTCCGTTTTGGGTGTCTGCGTGTGGACAGACAAAACCGGAGTTTTAAGGTCCGCAACGTCACTTTCCGCGACAAAAAAAATGCTGACATCACGTGTGCGACCTGTGTTTACACTAGCCGACAGCATGGATGCCCTCAGAGCTGCGCTCGCTTTATCAATTGTCCAAGCGCTTTTTGCTTGTTTGCTTTTGCAAGCGGAATTACTGCTCCTTGCGGAAGACCACAGACGAAGGACGAGGTTAAGAACGGGGGAAGTACTGCCGCCTACAGGTCTGGCATGTCCTTAACAACGTATTTATCCGGGTACGTGTGGACAGAGTTTTTTTTTAAACGAGGTGGTGTGGATGCAAGTTTTTGGAAGGGCGGATATTCGTTTTTAAAAAAACCCGGCTACGTGTGGACTAGGCCTTAATCTTCATGATGAATTCCTTCACAGAGCTATCATTTTGATGCAAAAAGATAAGAGTCTTGCATAAAAACACGACACATCAAGTCTCTGATTTTCATTATTTTCTGTCTTTCCTGGGGGAAAAGGTGGCAGAGGAGTTAAGAGTATGGGATTGTTTGTGTGGAGAAGCATCAGTTTACAAAACAGAGCTGATTACTGGCAATCCAGAAATTCATCTTTTCAAGCATCATCATATAAAACTCTGCAGATTAATTACAATGTCTTCATAGGTGATTGTTCTCAGACTATTTTCATAAATGACCAACAAATGAAATGGACGTAGGATTAAGGAGGATATTAATATCAGCTGATTTCTACAGAGCTGACCACGAATGCTTTACCAAAATTGTTAAAAGCAGAAGGAGCAAAGTGGCCAGTGCAGTGTACGGTCACAAATCAACACAACGGGTTTGGTGTCAGGACAAGAGATTTCTTTAGTGTGAAACTCAAGTCTGTCTGCATCCCTTCTAATATCTGCTGAGTTCAGTTCATTCTAGGACCTCTTATCCAATGTTTCCCAAACCATTTTGCAGACACAAACCTAGCATCTTTGTGCCACATGTGCTAAAATGGTGCTGATAGTTTCATGGAAGAAAAGGTGATAAAATCAAGCATCGGCAGCATGAAGCCTGCTGCGCAGCAGAACATTAAAAATGTCCTGTACGAAAGAAAACGCACATGTTGTACACTTCCTAATTATTTCCCTCTGTCACGTTTGTGCTCGCTGTGTGCGATGGAAGACCACAACGTAGTGCACATTCCTCACACCTGAGCACTATTTGCTTCCTGAATCAGACCCTGAGCAGGAGCAGACCGGTGCTGCAATTGATGTGCAAAAAATTGAGTTAATGCACATTTTTAGTGAATCTGGGCCTGTTGAAGTAGAAAAATGTGTTTTTGGAGACCGTTTTGGAAAAGTCTTTGGGTAAAGTGGTTCTAAAAGTGCATATTTGAGTCATGTTCTTATTCATGAAATCCATTTAAGAAGCTCATCCAGAGAAAGGTATGGGAATGAAAATTATTTGCAAAATAGTTTAATCTAGCTGAGAAAGCTGAAATGATACGTTTGTGTGGTCAGTGATGAAAAACACAAATTATGATTAAATATCTGGTTATTCATCTGATTATCAGCATTTCTTGATTATCTGGTAAAAAAAATTTAATCTAGTTTAATAAAATATAACGAACAGGGCTAACTTAAGTAGTGATGCTTAATTAACAAACAGGAAAACAATGTAAATACGAAAAAGCATAAATTTGTTTCTTTATTTTTACTTGTTTGTAAAATTCACACAGGCTTAAAGTTTTTAAATCAAAATAGACAGTAATTACTTCATTATTACCATGGGGGCTCGCAGTTAAATTATTATAAGGTAAAATCTACATTAATCTGATTATTATTGGTAAAAAAAAAAACAAGCAGAAAGAGGAGAAAAGGATAAATTAATTCTTACCCATCCAACTTTTTGAAAGAGAGGTAAAAATCCTCAGAGTCTCTTGGTTTGAAGTCGATGCAAGACTTTATCCTGATCTGTTCAAAGGCCTTGAGGATGACTCCTTTAGCGTTCATGTCTTTCATTATCAAAGCATGCAGATAAAAATGGAAGTATTAGACATTTCAATTCATTTAATATATGAGGTAAACAATCCAACAATAAATCTTTAAAATCATTTCATTTGAACTCCATTTTAAGTCAGTGGCGAATACAAGCAATCGGGTTCAATTTCACTAAATGAACCAAAGTGGAAATTATTTTACTTAATAAAATAAACATTTACCAAGACCCATGTCTAACTCGTAAGGGACTGGGGATGTCCACAGTTTGTCTTCAAAGGAAATGGTGCTCCTTGGAGTGAATGGGGGCTGGGATGACGGTGCAAAAGGCAAAACGTTTAATTGAAGGTCCTGCAGATCTACAACACATGCTGATTGTTTTCCTGTACAAAAACTAAACTTACCTTCATAACATCATCAAGTAATAATGCTAAGAGACATAAAAGTTAGTAATTAATGAGGAAACAAATGCTAACAGGTGACAGGAAATCCAAAATATAATCAAAATGAAAATAAATTATTTTACTTCACCATACCATCTGAAATGTCCTTGTTTTGCCCAATGTCTTTGAAAACACGAGATTTTTACATGTAAATTTTCAATAAATCACAGGAAGTAGTTTTAGGAAAATGAAGATTGAAGCAAATTAGAGCTTACCCACTATGTCTTGTTCTGGCTAGAATAAAAGGACAGAATAAGGAATCATCAGCAAAGAAAATCATAACCCAAAAACTTATATCACGTAAACTAAGTTGTTTATTCAACTTTCCTTCCATACACTGTGTGTGTGTGTGCGTGCGTGCGTGCGTGCGTGCGTGTGTGTGTGTGTGTGTGTGTGTGTGTGTGTGTGTGTGTGTGTGTGTGTGTGTGTGTGTGTGTGTGTGTGTGCAGCAAGCGGCAAAGGTTTCTCCTATCCATGAAATCCAGTAACAGAAAGTGTGGAATGAATCCAGTTTATCAAAGCTGAAATTTGTTGTAGAGAAAACAAAGATTTTGTTTCATTTACTACTCATTTAAGCCAACTCTGCAAAACTGGCTCTAGGTAAGTTTAAAATATATGATTTTAGACATATTATTTTTAGTCTATAAAGACAGAAATTTCCCTCTAGAAAATTAGCACAAAAGTTTATGTTCTTAAAAATAATTCCAATTTTTTTGGTTTGAGTAAAAAAAATATGCCAGTGGGGTATAAAAAAAGTTGCTCTGCTAGAATTCTTAAAATCAACAAATATTAAATTTATAAGCTTGTCTTAAGAATTACCCCATGACAGATTTTTTTACTCAAACAAGAAGTTTGACCATATTTAAAAATATTAACCTTATTTTAAATAATGCTTTTTTTCCCTAGATAAGAATTTTCTTTATTTTTAGATTAAAATAAGATAAAATGTCCTAAAATTAGTTTATTTTTACTTACTTAGAAATTAGTTTTTGCAGTGAAGGAAAATCCCAACATGTATTTGTAGGAATGTACTCATCCTGTCTAACACATATAACTGTCTGAGAGCAAATTATTAACAGATCAGAACAACTCACGACCACTTCTACAAGTTTGCAAAGAAAAACATTTGTCTTTTTGAGTTTATTTCTATTTATAAATCTGAGAATAGAAATACTTACTCTGTTAATGAAGAATGCTGATGTAAATACCAAGTCCACCAGCAGAATAAAGAAGCCTTTCATCTTCATGGTGACTATTGGATTCAGTAAAATATTTCAATAATCAAAGCACAGGTGTTCAGTTAAACTTGATTTAGTCTGATACCTGCTTGCCTTCGGCTCTCTGCTCGTTCTGCCTCAAATGAGATGCTCATCAGACTCAGGAAGGCTTAAGACGGTGTTTTTTCTTCTTCTTCAAGATTACGGCTCTTATCTTATCATTTACAAAGAGTTTAATTCTGCATGCTGGGCTTTTCTTTGTCCATAATGAGAACGTTTTGGGATTTTTTTTAACTCTATAAGGGCAATTTTGTTATTTAGGTAATTCCTCAACAGTCAAAATAGTGTCTGGGTGTCTGAATTTAATTATAAATTAATTCAGGAAACAAAAAGGTCTGTGAAAGTTGCACTAATTATCCGGTGGAGGATCAAGCTACTTCAATAAATTTAAAGATTTGTGCAAAATTGTTGTAGTCTTCAAAAGATTCAGAGGACATCCACCTTTCCAAGATGTATTTTAATGGCTCCTTTGCCAAATGGAACAGACTGACCCCCACAACCACCATGGCTCTCACCCTGTTTGTGACCTTTTAACCCTCAACCCCAAACAGTGCGACAAGTCTCGGGGTAAAGCTGGATGCTGAACTCTCAATGGCTAAGCTCCGTAGTGAGGTCTTGCTTTTATCAGCTTCGCCTCCTTACTCGCCTCAGACAAATCTTGAAGCGGCGGCATTTGGAGTGAGTCATCCATGCTTTCATTACCTCTCGCCTGGACTATGCAAACGCCCTCCTAGTTAGTGCTCCAGTCTCTGCCCTGAATCAGCTGAAGGTCGTCCAGAATGCTGCTGTCAGGTTCTTGACAAATACGCACCGACGTAACCATGTTACCCCTGTCCTGGCACATCTTCACTGGCTCCCTGTCATTTTCAGAGTACAGTTTAAGTTATTGACTTTTGTATTTAAAGCACTCAATGACCTGGCACCTCCCTAAGGAATGAAATGACTGTTTTCTACTAAAAGTCATTTTCCCCTCTCCTCTGACACAGAACTAGTCTGCATGAGATATGGCCTCAAGGTCTCATGAATTTGCTCTAAACGGCTTCTTTCCAGCCCAAGAGAAGAATAAAGAATGGACTCTCTCCCTTTAATAAATCAAAGAACTCCATTTTTAATAAAGCTAATCAAACAAAGTGTTAGTCAATAATAAGATGTGAACCAATTTGTGAAATCAAAATATTAATTACTTTATTATAATCCTACAGAATATAATAAGTAATATGACTTTAAATGTTTCCACCAGGACTGATCTCACGTAGCGTTAAGACATGACACATTGCTTTACTGATCCAATCAGAATCTGCCAGATCTGACTGAGGCATGGTTTTGGTGGTGTTTGGTAAAATCTGTCATCTTTTCATTCGACCATAAACCAAAATATCCGAAGTATAAAACTATGCCCACGTCATCTTTAAAGCGTTCTAGAGAAGTTGTCGAAGTGGCCAATCCGTAACTTTCCTCTTCAGCTAAAAGAACCAACGACAAGAGAATCAATAAAATGATGGACAACCCTGAGCATTCTCTTCACAAGACTGTCCGACAACGGAAGAGTGTCTTCAGTCAGAGGCTTCTTCAGTTTGGCTGCAACACTGACCGCTACTGGAGATCCTTCCTGCCAACAGCCATTGTAATATACAACAACTCTGTGATGACTTGATTATTATTATTATTCTGAGCTACTACAGCAACCAATTTCCCTCTGGGATTAATAAAGTATTTTTGAATTGAGTTGAAGTGAATTGGATTGAATTGAAAAGAACCCTGTGAAGGTCAACCAGAACAAGAAGCAGTTTAAATGTGCTTTTACAAATAATGTCCAGCGGGCCTCACACTTTGTTGTTTTACATAAAAATGTGTAGTGATTCGTTAGTTACGTCTTACGTAGGAAACCATCAAAGGTGAGATTCCATAGAAAATATGAAATCAATTTGATGGATCTTTGAATATCACTTTAAACAGAAGATCTGAACTTTTTATTGCAGGGATTAGGTAACACTTCGTGTTAACCCAGAATCAAAAGAGAGAGGGAGAGACAAGTTTTAAAGTTTAAGAACATTTATTTTTAAACAATTTAAAACAAGGCTAACTCTAACTCTAAACACTCTGTGTGATGAATGGATCTAGGTGTGAATGAGTCAAGATGGATGGTGTAATGGAATGTTGTTATCAGAACTCTCGTCTCCGGAGAAGCATTAGTTCTGTGTGGGAGCGAATGTTTTTGCTCTAAATTACAGTCGGAGTTTCAAAAACCACATCCAGATGCTCTCTTGCCGCTCTACATACCCTTGACGGAGACCTACGTTGTAGATCCAGAATGCCAGGTCCTCGGACCCCCCTTTGGTACCAGAGCCGATGCAACAGCGTACGGTATTGCCTCCAGGTAAGCGACAGGTGGAAAACAGCATCAGCCGGACCCTGAAGGGTCAGTGAGTTCAGCTTTACTCTGAAGGAGCGTTGCGTTCAGGTGTAGCTTGCAACAGGTTTATTTATCCAGCTTGCCGTTAGGTTCTTTGTGGTTAAAAAGTTACGAGTGGCCGGCTCGAAACTCTAGAACGTTTGAACACTGAGTTAAGGGTGACGTGGGAGTTAGTTTTATAATTCAGATGTTTTGATTTATGGTCGAATCAGAATTTAACAACAAAAGTAAACACTGCACAGACCACGCCACGCGTCAGAAAGGAAAGCTCTGATTGGAGACACAAAAGGAATGTGTCATGTCATTTTAACATTACTTGTGATATGAGTGTCTAGTGCTTCTGTTTACGATTATATTCTTATACCAATACTACTGATGACAGTATTATAATTCAAGTAATTCACATTGTCATTTCACAGATTGATTTACATTGGGCTCGCATTATTATTGGGACTAACAGACACTCTTGTTAAAAAGAAGAGTCTTCTGTCTTGGTCCTGAGCTGGAAAGGAAGTGCAACAGTTTAGAATGAGAGGCATGAGACCTTGAGATTAGGTTGTGTCTCCCCAGCCTGAGCAGAGCAGGTTGACCTTCAGGTCAGAAAACAGTCATTTCGTTCCGCTACACATGTGACCATCTCAGTTTGCTTGAATAAAACTAATGTGCAGTCGTGTGCACGTCTGTTTTCTAAAGGATCAATTGGTGGAAAGAACGTTTGGAAAAATAAAATGTGGGGCATTCATCACGTGCCACAGAATGAACGAATGTAAAAACGATTATCGTCTTAATTTCAGGAATAATTGTTGATATTAATAAGTCTAGTTGTCACTCTAGTGATGAAACAATGTGCTCAGTAAGGAAAATTCAGATGGCACGTGTATTTGAACTGTCACGTTTAACATTAGCAAAGAAAAATTCTTGATTTTGATGAATGAAGGACTTTCAGAGTCAAAGAGGACTCCACAACCCTCTACACTATTGTGTATCAGTCATCCATTTACACACACACACACACCCCAATGGTGAGCTACATTGTAGCCACAGCTGCCCCAGGGCACACTGACAGAGGCAAGGCTACCGAGCTCAGGAGCCGCTGGTCCCGGCAACCACCATGCAAGGTTGGTGAAGCGTCTTGCCCAAGGACAACGGCAGAATTCTCTGCTGGGATCTATCCTGCAACCTTCTGATTACTGGACAACCCGCTCTACCGCTGCTGCTGCCTGTGACAGAGTAATGTGGTAATTTAACTAAAACTGGTGTAACAAACAATGATAGATTTTAATTTAAATATTGTTTTCAACATCCTCCCTGCACCAAGAACTGTGGCAAAAGTTTGAAAAATTAAATCCATGGATTCAAACTGAATTTGCAACTAAAGAACCTGTACCGGATTAGTCTATAAATAAACCCAAAAGACTTGTCTAAAGCATGCATTTGACTCCCCAGGACTCTAGATAAGAAAGTAGCGTTCACCGTTATGGTCTCCTGCACGTAGGGGGAAAGGCATGTGGGGACTCTGAATTGAATATGAAGTAAAACGCCAGCTTCACTCTCAGAGTTAAGACCATTGAGTCAGAATAGCTGCAATAAAAAAAAATATTTAGGTTAAAAGTGGTAAGTCGTCTGGTTGCCGCTGGTATCGTCGACAGACACTGGTGTAGTCTGGCACCATCAGAACTTCCTGTGGAAACTGTCATCCATTCAGCTGGATTCAATACGTGTTGATTAGTGCACCTCTCACCCGGGACACAGACTTTTCGAGCCGCTTCCCTCAGGCAGGAGGTTACGGTCCATCCAGACCAGAACCTCCCGCCATAAGAACAGCTTCTTTCCATCTGCCGTTAGACTTGTGAACAGCTTATAAATACACAACCATGTTTGTCTGCTGTACTTGACATAACGTCACGTTACCGGCCATATTACCATTACCTGCCTTTTTTATAGCTGAATGTTTTATGCTAGTTTTATTATATTTTATTCTACTTATTCTATTTCTGAAATTTATTATTCATGTTATGTGTAGCACATTAGTACCGAAACAAGTTCCTAGTTTGTGAACTGCTTGTTCACTGACAATGGCAATAAACCTTTTCTGATTCTGATTCTGATTCTGATTCTCTTAATCACTTAAGCCTTGTTTACACCAAAAAAACCAATGCAGTCTGGATTCCCGACGCCTTTCACATACACCAAAAATCATTGAGTAATCAGATAATTCACATCGGCTCCAGCGCAGTGCAGATCCAGATGCGGACCACCAGAAAGTTTCCACATGGAGTCTATTCTTTCTGAACACCTCCTGCAGACAGTTATGTTGTTAATGAAATGACATGCCCCAAACAGGAAGACAGGCGTGTTTCTGTTAATATTAATTACAGCAACATCAGGTCACAGTGTATGATATTCACCTTTTTTTCACGAGTGTATCTTTAAGCGTATGATTTTCTGTGATGCTCAGCACATGAACTGCAGTCACTGTGAATGGCAGTCTGCAGAATGAAATCCAAGCTTGTAACACATGTATGCCAGCTGTTGGTGTTGCTGTCTTCTACAGAGTTTGTCTTGTGTTAATTATGAATTTACTGGCAGGTGAAGGCGGCTGTTCTGGTTTCATCTGAGGTTAAAGGTAGGTAAATGGTGCCTCTTTGTGGACAAGCCTGCTATCACACTCCAGAATAAATAAATCAGACTGATATGACATGTATCCGTTGTAACTAAATGGATTTTATTACATCTAAATTAAGGTTTGTGTTTATTAGTTTAAACTTTCTCAACATCTTGCAACTTTTTGCAAATCAGTTAGTATGCTCTTGTGTCCCCTCTTTTTGGTCTAGGCTTTTTTAAGTGTATTATCATCAAAGTAGTAAACAGCGTAAACTGGATCACATAAAAGTGAAATAAATATTAATCATGACTGAAATGATCTTCATGAAACAGGATTACACCAGCAGTAATTGGACTTGATTGTACAGTGAGTGTCACTGGATTTGCAATTAATATAATTCATTTTTGTAACTGTTCTGAGATGACTTTTTTTATTTTGTACAAATAATCAAATGCTTTTGTTTTTTAGTCACATTAAAGTGTTGCCTGTGAATCTATTTTTAACAGGGAGTTGTTACGCAGCAAATGCTAATAATTAATGGCTTAAAAATGTGGTACCTGTATTGGAACATAAGATTTTCCTTCATTATATAGTAAAAATACTTGTGTATAGACCTGTTTTGATTGCGGTAGTGTCACCCATGTTTGTAGTATACAAATTGCTATAAATGTTAGATATGAGTCTGATAAGATCATGGAAATAAAAGCTGTTTTAAAATAGCTTGTTGCAGTCTTCATGAATCAAGTCCAGGTAGAGTGACTTTTATTTAATTTTATTATTATTAATATTGTTGCTGTTGTTGTTGTTGATTATATTGTTTATGGTGTTGTTGTCATTCTTATATATTCATTTCACGTATTAATAAAAGTTTACTGCGTTTGTGTATTTACCAGTAATCTTGTTTATTTTTCTTCCTTTTCTCTAAGTGTATGTGCTGCTGTAACGAGTGAATTTCCCCACTGTGGGAATAATAAATTCTATTCTATTCTATTCTATTCTATTCTATTCTATTCTGCATATTTTCACCAAATAAGATTTTTCCATAATATAACTTTATATTGCTTAGATTGCGTGGTATGACATCGTTAAAAGATCATATTCAATGTCATTTATTTGGTGATAAAACTGTAAATAATTATTAAATAAAGTTTTTAAAAAATCAGGAGGTGCGGTCTTTCCTGTAGGCGAGAACGGAAGCGGAAGTTCGGCCATCTCCTCGTACATCCAGGCTACAACAGGGTCAGTATTTATGTTATCTAGATGGTTATTTTGTCACGTTGTCAATCTTTTGTGACGTGTTGTCTTTTGAACGAGTGTAGCCGACGCTGTCCCAAAGCAGGAGGTGTCCCTGTCATCTAATTCTCACACAATGTAGCAGTCAGGTTGCGAATTAGCATCAGAAGCTAGTTCGCTAGCATCAAGTGATTTCTTTATCAATCAAACTGGCAGGTAACCTTCGAGTCTAGTCTGCTGTAACTCCTTGTTATGTCTGGAAATTTCATGGGTTTTTTAGTAGATTGCCTATTCGTGCCAAGCTGCACCCTCTTGTCCCATCTTGTGACTATGTTTTGCACAGACTTTTCAGAGCTCAGTAGCAAAGTGCTAGTCAACACTTTCGATTAGCTTGTGGTGAGAGTTGCTAAATGACAGCTACCGTTAGTTGGACGTTTTCGTTCATTCTTCCCAGTCACCATCGGACTTAGTGGCACAGTGATGCTAGTTTAATGCTGTAGCTCACGTTAGCAGCTGCACAGCTGTTTGATTGCTAACGTTTTTTTCGCTGATAGGGTGTACCAGCATAAACTGTAATTGTTTTACTGAGTAACGGTTGTTTGTCTTATCTCCGGGTGAGTTATCTGGGTGGGGGGGACTCTGGTGCGTCAGCTCCATGGAGGTTCAAAAGCAGAACAAACGAGTTGAAGTTTGATACCAACTTTTTAAAACATTATTTGTGTTTATTGTATTCGTTATTTATTTATTTAAATCCACCCATATGAACTTAAAACCTACCGTGTTTAATCGTTTTTATGGGATGTGCTGGGATATGACCCTAAAGTTGTAAACAATTCTTATAAACAACGAGCCTGAGCAAATGGCTTTCCTTCTACAATGTGTACTTTCAGTATAGACCAAATTCAATCCAAAACTCCCTAGAAACATTTCCTTCGGTGCGTCCATGCTGCAGAAATGAAATCCACCTGAAGTACACTGTGTACTTGTACTTTGCCCAGATACGTGGCTATGGAAAAGCAGGCAAAGCGTGGTCACAGCTGATTAAAATGACCAAGAAACTAACTTTAGAAAAAGTTTGCGAGAGGAAAGGTTGAGAGTAACACCTGCTGATCCCGTTGGTTCTAGATCACTAATCTACTTGTAAAATGAAGGAAGTGTGATCTGCTTTCAGTACAGATTGTTGGTTCTGACCTTTATTCAGTGGGTGCTCTCTCTCTAGCTCTCCTGTGCTTGGCCAGCCAGCCAAGGCCTTGTATGATGATTGAAATGGTGAACTAACCTGCCTATTTGGGGTTTCCTTTTTGAGCAATTATGAGGTTATTCCTGTGAGATCAGCTCAAGAAAACATAGTTTTATATATTACACTTGAGATGCACAAAAACCCATTTGTTTGTTCCCAATCATACTTCAGTCTTAGAATAATGTATTTGCTCCACAGTAAAACTAATCATGGTTATACTGAGCCTGGTAATGCAGTTTGCAGGGGAACTACCTGTTTTGGTGAAGAAGACTGAATGTAGTTTATTCATAATCTAGGCCATTTAGTTATGTCATGTTTTCTGTGTGATAAGGCATCTCCGTGTCAGTAATACTTGTGAAACAAAGATGGAGTGTTGTAGCCGAGAGCAGCAGAGTTTAAATGTAGTTAATGGAACTTGATATGTTGCTCTGGGTCTGATGTCTGAGAGCCAAAGGACGTGTTTCAGAACTTGTCTAAGATTAGGTGACGGGCGTGAACTTGGTTGTTGAGTTTTAAGAGGCGCTGAACTGACTTTCATATCTTATACATGGCTTTTATGTAGCCAATGCTGATGGAGATTTAAAACATGATGCCAGATGCAAAGTAATTTTATTTATTTATTTTTAATACCAACTTTCCAATAAAAAAGTTATACTCTGATTGCTGGACAAGTATAAAACAAGTTGTCGTTGATTTTGAGAGGGTGGTTTGTGTTAAACTTGATTTTTCCTGACATTACTTTCAGCAGACCTGTGGTAGAGTTCAGTCTGGACCATCGGGTCTGGACTCATGTTTTGCTACAGCTGGGTCAGAGTGCAGAAAACTCAAGGTTTTCACGGGGAAAATAGCACTGAATCTCGGTTACCCAGCAAGGCTAGTCCCGGATGGTGTTTATAAAGTGAAGTTTATTCATTTAGATGAAAGTTTTTGATAGATGAACATTTTCAGGTTAAACTTGATCCAACAACCTTCAATTTTTGTATTCATGTGTGGAGATATTCTGAAAATTTAGACTAATACTGGTAGCAATGGCTGCACAGTACTTTGATATTAGGAGTGCATATTGGCAAGAATCTAGCGCGATACCAGAGTTTCCCCCAGCACTTTTTTGCTTGGTCACCCGGCAGGCTAAGCGCTTTGTGAGAACATGTAGAACTTGTACAATTAGCTAGTAGTTGTAGTGTTTCCTTGAGTTTATTCTGCCATGGCCTCGTAAATGGCTTGGACGCGAGATCTTGGTGATGTCACAACACGTGGTTCTTGAGAGTGCAAAACTATTGACTACACGTGTCTGCAGCACAATTAGACATGCATTTATATAGTTAATCAGGAAAAAAAGTTGATTTGGGGGTGACTTGCTCTTTAAGATGTTTTTTGTTACAAGGGGGTGTGGCTTTGGCACAGCGTGCACCGGGAATCATTTTAGCATGGTTTGGTGAGAACATGTAGATTGTGGCAGTGAAAGGATGCATGTGGTCAGCAACAATTGTTCAGCCTGCTGTGTAAGCAATCTAGTGCAAACAAAGGCTCAGGAGACTGTGTGTGGACAAGAATTATGCAGGAGAAATGTACATTAAACCTTTATTAGACATGAGTCCATTCTTTGTTGAAAAACCAGGTACTATACGTTTGGCATCATTGAAAAAGCAGATAGTGAGTATCTGCTGGTTTAATTTTTCACTTGTTCATATTATTGCAACCATTTGTCTTTAAATGTTGGCTCTATTGTTATTGGTGTTTAAAAGATTCATTCCCTCCAGGCTCATTCTCTCTCCGAGGGCTCCTGGATGTCTGGTCGTTTGTAGGAAAAGCTGTGATAAGGAATATTATTACCCAGTAAATAGATATGGGCTCTTAGCAGCAGAATTCAAAGTTCAGGTAATGTTCAGGGTTGCAGCACAGAGTAGTGTCCTTTTACTTTCATGTAAAGTTGCATTTGACTAAATGTTTACTTTTTTTGTAAGGCTAAAATAAATCCAGTTTCAGTGAAGTAAAATCAGGTTTTCCCAGTCAGTCTGGGATCCTGATTTTAATTTTCCCTCATTTTCTTTGTAGATTATTATAAAGGTTGTTCATTTATCATCTTTTCTGAAGCGGACTACTTTAAAGCGTAAGAGTCAGCCTTGTGTGGGTCATCAGCAGATCATGTGATAATTAGAAGCTGAATGTGTTCTTTGTATTTCCAATGGTTAGTTAGACAACCGCTCTACTGTCAGGTTTAAAATCTGTTTCTTATCCTTGTTTGCAGTTTTCATCTCCTTCCATCTGAGGTTTTCAGACCCGATGTTGCCACAAGAAGAAACCGACAAACTGACTCCATGAATGAGTGAAGGGCGAGGCAGGGAAAGAGAACCGTACCAGGAAGAGGAGCCTCATTCTCAATCATTCTTGTGTAACAAATGTGCGTGATTTAACAAAGTACTCTGATACAGATGCTACAGGAGGTTGTTTTTATTTTCTCCACAAGGTCGCAAATCTTTTCTTTTTTTTTTTACTTTTTCCATTTTTCCTTCTTGATTTTTTTTCTAGACCGTTATGTATTCTTATTACTGTTTTTATTAACCATAAAACGTTTCATTGTCCATCTGCTCAGATTGCAACAGAAATCTGTGGCCAGTCAGTTGCCATGTCGACCTCATCGCTACGGCGACAAGTAAAGAACATCGTCCACAACTATTCAGAGGCTGAAATCAAGGTTGTTTTTTGTCTTTTTCTATCTACATTCTTTAAATCCCTCTAACAGGAGCATTAAACATACATTTTCTGCTAAGTGGAAAACATTTTGCAGCTTCTGATGTTATTTTTCTTCTTGGTGACGCGTTTAAATAAGGGTCCCTTTATTAACGTTACTTAGTGCATTGTTAAGTATTAATAAACAGGGATGTCCCAATACAACTTTTTTCACTTCCGATACGATACCGATATTGCAGTCTTTAGTGTTGGCCGATACCGATATCAATCCGATACGATATCCGCACAAATCATACATACTTTTACCTATTTCATAGTGTGGTGATATTACTCAGTTGGAGAACAAGAGCCGATAACAGTAAGTATGAAAAAAATAATGAGGGTTTTTAACCAATGGCTGCAAAAACGTGAACCTTAACGGACTGCTTATATCGGAGATTTTTGATGCAGTCCCCCATAATCCGATACATTGTTTTTGGCCCAATATCGAATTACTTTTGATATCGATTTCGGAACGGGACATCCCTATTAATAAACAATTAAATAAAGTATTAAAAACTGTATAATAATAATTTTAATAGTATGTGATGCATTACTAAGCAGACCCCCCTGGCCCTTTGTCCTAACCTTAAGGACACTTAATAGTTAACAGTAATGTTAATAAAGGGACGTTTGTGTTTTATTGCTTCTTTGTAGCTTATGCTCTGAGTTAATATTTTCATCTAAAACATTGTTTGGTCCGAAAAGATTGGCCACAAAATCCTCTTAAGTAGGGATGGGTACCTTTTGACATTTGAATTTATTCGGTACTAATTCCCGGTACCTAGGAATCGATACCGGTACTTAACGGTACCAATTTTAGATACTTTTTTAAATATATATTTTCTCAATATATAACCATATTTGATATATATCACGATAAATAACATACAACTGTTTGTGTTTTAACATCGTCCTTGTAGTTTTATAAGCTGATAATTAAACTGAAGCAAACATCTTTACTGTGAACTAAATTTACTGTGTATCTTCATTCCTTTTGCCGTCCTTTTTCATTTGATTTTTCCTACTGGGAAGTTAGAATTTCCGAGGAGAAAGCGAACGCACCATTAGCTGATAACAATGGTGGCAATGGAAGCTAACATATCAAGCTAACGTTATCTTAAACAGTTTATTTAGCTGCTGGAGCAGATTAAAATGATGATGCCTCACACTTAGATCATTGTCGCTGGTTTCATCTTCACCCAATCACCCGTCGCATTTAGTAAAGTGAAGCCAACCTTTAGAGCGCATTCATGTTCTTCTAGTCGGAAAATCGTAGTTCCGAGGAGAAAGCGAACGCACCATTAGCAGAACGGAAGCTAACATATCAAGCTAACATTATCTTAAACATTTACCGGAGCAGATTAAGATGAGGATGTCTCACTTAGATCGTTGTCGCTGGTTTCATCATCACCCAGTTACCCATCACATTTAGTGAAGTGGACCCAAGTTTAGCGTGCGTTCTTTCTACCATGCTGCTCTGTTTACAACTCGCTCACAGCGACCGACGACATAACGCTCTTGCGCATGCGCAGCTATCTAGGCAAGTTCTCGTTATGAAGGACGGGTATCGAAACGAGGCACCGTTTCAAATGACGTGAATCGGTGCTCAGTCGGTGCTATGGAATTCGGTCGTTACTTTAAAAAGTACCGAATTCGGTACCCATCGCTAGAGCCCTGCACTGAAGCCCTAGGCCCTCGGGTCAGGGGCTTCGGGCCAACGACTGTGTAATTACCTCGGACACGGGCCGGGCGCCTTTATTTTTAATCAAATTCATAAAAAAACTGAAACACTTGAACGCAGCAGCACCTGCCTACTTCTCACGGACCGGCACCCGTTAGCTCAAATGCGCCTATATAAACAAATTCTCCAGCTGCTGATTGAAACATGTGCCCCTATTCTAACATGCCATTTTATGTCCACTTTGATGTCAGAAACCATTCATTCATTCTCATGAAAACGGCAGCATTCTGTTTTTCTGTGAATAAATTCGCTCTGCAGTTAAAAAATACAGCATTCATTGCTGTTTTTTTTCTAACTGGAGAGTGCATTTTCAGAGCGGCAGATTAAATTTACAAACGCTATATTAATTGGGGACGTTTATTTAATCTGCCACTCTGAAAATGTGCTCTGCAGTTAGAAAATTAGAATGCTGCTTTTTTTTCTAATTGCACAAGAGCGCATTTTCAGAGCAGATTAAATTTACAAACGCATCCAATTAATATAGTGTTCGTAGATTTCATCTGCCGCTCGAAAAATACGCTCTGTTAGAAAAAAAAGCTGCATTGATGCTGTTTTTCTTTCTTTTCTTTCTTTTTTTAACTGCAGAACGCTTCTCACAGATAATTAGAATGCTGAGCATTCTATCATGCTAAAACATTACGAAAGGTTAAAAAAAAAAGTCGGCCAGAGAATCCTGAAAACCTTTTCGGACCGGGTCGGCCTGGGGCTCCACCCCCTCGGGCCGGGCCGGACACGGGCTCAGATTTTAGGCCCGTGCAGGGCTCTACCCATCGCTACTCTTAAGCCATGTTTGTCTGCATTGTTTACAAATCTGCCATGTTTTTTATATTGTGCAATGTCTGCTGGAACCAAATAAATCTGATTCTGGCTCTGAATAGATGCTAATAACGTTTTTCACCTGGCTGTCTTTGTCCAGGTTAGAGAGGCGACGTCCAACGACCCATGGGGTCCCAGCAGCTCTCTTATGTCAGAGATTGCAGATCTGACCTACAATGTTGTGGCCTTCTCTGAAATCATGAGCATGGTGTGGAAGCGACTTAATGACCATGGGAAGAACTGGAGACATGTATACAAAGTATGCAGATGAGTGTTAAATCTGGTGATTAACTTCATGACATAAGTCTGGGATATTCAAAGGAAATGTATGGATTTTTACGTATTCATGTTTTTTTCTCCTCTTCATCAGGCTATGACTCTAATGGAGTACCTGATCAAGACAGGTTCAGAACGTGTTGCCCAACAGTGTCGAGAAAACATCTACGCAGTCCAAACCCTTAAGGATTTCCAGTACATAGACAGAGACGGCAAAGACCAGGTACACAAACACACACTAATGGGCCATTCCCATCTGTACCGGGTCGGCCCGGGCTGGGTAGCCCCAGTCGGCCCCAGCCTGGCCCGGTTGATTCCACACATCCTTGTCTTAAGCCCATGTGGGCTGATTCTACCCACCAATCAGAGGCTTGCTCTAATGGAAGGTGTGAATTTGCTGTCAGCAGTGGGCGTGTTGGCCCTGGTCGGCCTGAAGCAGACCCCCTCGAGAAGAGGGCTGAGAATGAGCCTTGGTTGGCCCGGAAAAATACCAGGCCACCCAGATATGTAAACAACCTACGCTACCCGGCCCGGGCCGACCCGGTACAGATGGGAATGGCCCATAATGCTAACACAGCTGAGTGGAAAGTTGATGTGTTTAATCGGTTAAATCTGTTTTTGTGTGCCGTTGACACACTTCCTCATGTGCTTGCAGTTTGTTGTTTCAGGACAGTTTACAAAGTATTCTGCCGTCTTAAACCCAACAAAGAAGTTAATCAGTTATAAGGTGTAGCAGCAGGGCTGTGAAGGCCTTCTTGGTGTATTTTTATTATTTCTGCATCAATATCGGTATCGGCCGATGTTAGTCTTTTTTTAACATATCTGTGTCGGTTCGATAAATAAAACCGGGCCGATATTAACAACCAATATTTTTTCCATATTGTCTCAATTTGTTCATCTGTTTCAGAGGGTGAGGGGGTGATGTGTAATTGTTGAGTCATGTGACAGTGATTGTAATCATCTCAGAAGCATAAATGTGTGTGGTGTGTGTACATAATAACGTAAATTCAGCTTTAATAATTTTCGTTCTATACAAAATCTGCTGATTTTAGACTCATTAATGTCAGTATATCAGTATTGGCAAATATCAGTTATCGGCCATAACAGGGATCTTAATATCGGATATCGGCATCAGCCCAAATTTTCATATCGGTGCATCACTGTTATTATTATTATTATTATTATTATTATTATTATTTGCCATCAGCAATACTTTTCCAGGTCTCAAATTTCTTCCTTTTTTATAATAACAGAGATGGTAATGCTATAAATTTATATTAATGTTGCATTTTATATAAATATCAGTTTACTTTAAGTGTCTGATGAGTGAGACCAGTCTCACTGTGTTCATAAAGTCCTTGAAGATGTGGAATACTGAAAAAATGTTTTTTAATCATTCTGATTATAATCACTCTTGAGTGTTTCATGCAGGCTGAACATGGAAATAGTCTCCTACACCTATCTCCTGCATTAGCTTCTGATAGAAAACAGACGGTGAAACTCTAGGATTAGAAAAGCCTGACAGATCTACGTCACACTGTCCCTTAACATTCATGGACTCACCCATCTTGGCTCACGACGGGGAAGGCTGTTGTTGGTTTAGCGTCCAGAAAACCGCAGAGAACGTCTCTGTTAGTAGAAGCTAACCGTTAGCCTAACAACTCCACCACACAGCAGAACTCCTCCAGACTTGTGTTATTTGAAGAGATAAAACATCAACGTTGCAGAGAAAACAGAGTTAGTGGTAGAGTCGCGTTGCTGTTATCCAATCAGATGAGAGATGTCCAAATGTCAGGAAATAAGGGTCAGAAACCTGCCTTGTGAAGCTACTTTCTCCAACAGCTGATTTGTACTTCCTGATTTAGGTGCATCTGAGCTTTACAATTATTATTCTCGCATTATGCTATTTATTCATACACACACACATATATATATATATATATATATGTGTGTGTGTGTGTGTGTATATGTATATATATATGTGTGTGTATATGTATATATATATGTGTGTGTATATGTATATATATATGTGTGTGTATATGTATATATATATGTGTGTGTATATGTATATATATGTGTGTGTGTATATGTATATATATATGTGTGTGTATATGTATATATATATGTGTGTGTATATGTATATATATATATATATATATATATATATATATATATATATATATATATATATATATATATATATATGTGTGTATATATATATATATATATATATATATATATATATATATATATATAATCGATAACTCTGCATCAGTCTAGGTAGTCCTCAAATGCTCTTGCACGTTCAGTGATTGACATCTGTACGTAAGCAGATCTTTAACACTATTGGCTAATGCTGAGCGGTGCTCAATTCAAATTGCTTGGAGCTCTACGGGACGGGCTTAGCAAAATAAATAAATAAATAAATAAATAAGTGGGGTATTGCCTGCATCGTCACAGTACAGGGTAAGACTATCACTTTTACGAACATTTGAAAAGTCTTGAGAGGTCGAAAACTTGATTGTAGCTTTAAACAAAAAGCTGAGACTTTTATTTTGTAATTCGATCTTGCAAACTATAAACTTGTAAAGAATGGAGAACAAAGCAAATGCCTCTGCAGGTGTTTTTAGCTACTTGTGGTCTTTCACGTGAACGAAACAAGGTGTTTTTTCTGCCTGTTCTCTTGTTATGCTGTTGGCTGTGACGGAGAGAGGCAGGCTGGGCTCGTGTTTCAGTTCAGTGTGTTGCTCTTTTATTTGCTTTACTTGGGTCAAAACAGCAAAGGCCTCTGGAGTAAAGTGTGAGCTATGCCTGCTGCAGAAATATTGTTCAGTAACACTTTACAAAGATCTCAAAACAAACTCATATTTTGTAAAGTTATGCCACAAATATTGTAAAAAATATCAGGAGAAGCTGATATTTGTTTCCTCACATCTTTATTTTTCTTCCAGGGTCTGAATGTACGAGAGAAAGCCAAACAACTTGTGACCTTATTGAAAGATGAAGAAAAACTAAGAGAGGAGAGGATCCACGCCCTCAAAACCAAAGAAAAAATGGCACAAACCACTAGTGGCAAGTCATCTACATTAAACTCCAATAAACCAGTGGTTGGATACAAGCCATATTTCTCATATGTGTGTCCACTGCAGCATCCTCAGCCCCATCAGCCCCCAGCCTTGGTGGCAGCCTGTCCATGGGCTCTCATTCTTTAGGGGCAGATCCTGAGCAGGCGTGGCCTCAGAGCTCAGGGGAGGAAGACCTTCAGCTTCAGCTGGCTTTGGCCATGAGCAAAGAAGAGGCAGAACAGGTATCACAGAGTTCTTTATTAGCCTGCAGCGCTAGCTTACGCGCTCTTTTTTTTTTTTTTTAAGCAACATTTGCTGTTTCAGTGCAATGCAGCAACAGTGTAATCGTATTATCTGCTGCTGCAGAACACCTAGCTTGGCTCTCACCATTTAACCACTGACCTCCCCCAGAATAGCGCGGACCCTCTGGAGGATGCAGAGCTTCGCTATGCAATCACACTCAGCAAAGAGATTCACCAAAAGGTCAGGGGCAGAGAGTGTGTTCTGCTGAGTGGAGAGCCCGTCATCAACTATCTATTTTCCTGTCACTTGGAATTACTCAAGTGCATACCAAATATTGATTAATCAACAAACTTTATGCTTGCTTTTGTCTTTTGGGATTTTCTTGGATGTGTTTTTTTCTTTTTTGCACAAGACTGCAGTTATTCTGCGATAAATGACTTTGCTGTTCCGCGTCACATCCCTTCATAATCCTAAAAACGTGCCAAACCCTGAAAGGATTGAACAGTAATCAAACGTAATTAATTAATTTGCATGATATTTGCCAATACATGACATATTCATGAATGGATGTGTTGTAAGTATTGATTTTTTCCCCCTCCGTTTCTTGTAGCATGCATTCAACTGCAGCACTGATCTGAAAAACTTTCTTACCTGCTGCACCTTTTCTTGCTGTAATAACTTTATATTGATTTGTTTACTTGGTGCAAAACTTGGGGTTCAAGTAGTACGTTGGTCAGCTGACTGAACTACCTGAGTTAAAGGGGCATTATGGAAGTTTGACAGCCAAAACATGTATAGAAATAATAAATGTCTTCTTCATACATTCTCCTGCAATGCCCTGGTCCTGTAGAATGAGCCCTGGCATTTTTACTGTGATTGCTTGTTTTTCTGTAAAATCACAGAAAAAGAGAGATGCTCGGGTCGAGCAGGCTGCTTCATGCGCGTTCACGCTCAGGCATCGCCCGTAGCATTTGCTATCCGTAGCTTTAGCAGCAGAGAGAGAGGCAGTGCCACTTTGTCGCTGTTCCTAACGCCTAGTGACAAAGCTAGCTACATTTCTGAGGACCCTTAGCGACTTTCTGTAGAACTTTCTTCTAGATATTTCCTGCAAATTAGCAACAAAATAGCCATTTTCACTCCGAACCGTTCTTTGGTTTGATGTTGTTTCAGCTGTCATCAAGGATATAAAAGTTACAGATACTGTGAATGTTACTAGAGTGTAGCTCACCTTGTAAGATGTCTGACTCTCATGCAGAAGACCTGGGTTCAATTCTGGGTGTGAACTTAATTCATTTAGTTTCTTTTTTACATTAATGGTATCTTTTTTTACAGTAAGATGCCCAAATTTTTATTTGAGACTCGCCGAACGGCATTGAATTCACAGATAAAAAAGATGTGGGTTCAACTTTCATTTTGGAACAATTTTTCAAGCAAGGGAAGGGAATGATCTGAGCATGCAGGAGGACTGACCCATCATAAACCTTTGTCGGCTGTGCTGAAGAGAAAGGTACAGAACCAAATTATTCAATTAATTAGCTGCACGTTCTCCTGTCCTCTATCCTCCGGGACACACACACACACACACACGCACGCACGCACGCACGCAACTGTCTCAGCTGTTATTTTCGTTAAGGAGTGTGCACGTACAGCATGCGCGCCTCGTGCACGAGCCTACTATTGAAGCTGCCATTACGCTTTTGGCCTGAGGGGGCAGTCGTGAGCATAAAAATTCAAAAGTCCGTAAAGTCCCTTTAAGTCTGTGAATCAAAGTGGGTGTTTCCAAGAGGATGGTATTGATATTGGTTAATTTACTGATTGATAGTCAATCATTTCTGTAATAGTTGTATAAAAGGTGGTTTGTTTAAATGCATCTAAAAGATTCTTAATAATAGAGTAGAGCTGGTTAACTGATAGAATGTTTATCTGCTTTCATCCATTGGTTTGGCTGTAGTAGGCAGCAGTAGCTCAACAGGTTGAGCGGGTTGTCCAGTAATCGGAAGGTTGCTGGTTCGATCCCGGCTCTGGACAGAGAATTCTGCTGTTGTGTCCTTGGGCAAGACACTTAACCCAACTCGCCTGCTGGTGGTGGTCGGAGGGACCGGTGGCGCCTGTGCTCGGCAGCCTCGCCTCTGTCAGTGCGCCCCAGGGCAGCTGTAGCTACATTGTAGCTCATCCCCACCAGTGTGTGAATGTGTGTGTGAATGGATGAATGATACACTGTAGTGTAAAGCACTTTGGAGTCCTTACTCTGAGAGGCGCTATCATTTATCATGACAGAAATGGAGCAGAATCAGCAGTTTCTTCATCTAAACCGTCTAAAGTTACATTTATTTTTGTTTTCCATTTGACTTGTTTCCCGAGTAAAACTTCATTAAAGTAAGAAAGCTTCCTCGGGCCTTCTAACATGCATGACTATTGGATTAATTGGTTGATTAGTGTTAATCATGAATGAAGTATCAGTTTCCACAGGTTCAGAGATTAGTTGTCCAGTAAGTGTGTGTGTGTGTGTGTGCGTGTGTGCGTGTGTGTGTGTGACTGGCAGGAGGAGCGGCTTCGCAGAGGCGATGATCTGAGACTGCAGATGGCCATTGAAGAGAGCAAGAGGGAGAAACCCAAACCAGAAGAGGTGTGTGAAACATCAATCAGTGTGTGGATGATTTCTCACTCTCATGGCTTTAGCTTCATCTGCTACATATGTCAGATGTGTGTTTGTAGTCCGTCCCATTCACTGCCAAAAGGTTTTACACAGCAACTGTGCACATAACAGAATAACAGGAGTTCTCATAAAGTTTGTATAAAATAAAAAAATCAAACCTTTTGACCCTTTGCACCGACGTCACCTAATCACGTGGGTCCACCATGCTGGACGGCAAAAGCATGTAAACAGTGAGCGACACGAGTACTAAACAAAGGGAAAAGAAGAGCCTGAAATTGTTTTTGCGATCAAAACAAAAACAAAACTCCTCCAGCATTCCTTCCACTAGTTCTTGCCCAGTTCACTTATCAGAAGAAGTAGTGCATCTAGCGGTATGCTAACTAGCTTACCAACGTTAGCTTACGTTCTCTCTGCAGCTGTTCACCGCTGACTTTGCCTAAATTCACTCCACTGGATTTATAACTTTATGTTATAAACAGCGTTTCACTTTACACCGAAGCTGATTTTTAAAAAGTCCGGATCCCTACCAGCTTCTGTTGCTGGTGGTGTTACCGGGTTCAGCTGCTGCTCTCACACCGGAATGAGAAGATCTCTGAACGCCAACGCTCATATGAATAAATAACGTAATTTTAACCCACGTAATCATACATCGGAGCTTTAATATTGTTAATAATTGTCTCGCTGTACACGACAGTGGACGGAGCGCATCCTCCGTGGTGAAATACCCATCCATCAGGTTTATCAATAACCAGTATAAACACATCACATTCATCCCTGTCCCTGTCTTCCTCGTGAAATAAATTAACGTTAATCTTACCCGGTAAAAACATGTTCGCTGCAAATCTGAGGGCTGCTTGATCGCTGCAGTTCATCTCCATCCTCGGTCTCCATCAAAGTTATTAAAAAAACAAAAGGAGTTGAGTTTACATCCTTGTCTGTTAGTGCAGCCGACCACGCAGCAAGCTAAAACCATTTTACTGTCAAATCACCTAAATAAAAGCGATAAAAAGCTACAAACTGACTTGTTTTGACTACCTTCACTGGAGTTTCTACGGGTGTAAACGGTCTTTTTGCCGTCCATCATGGCGAAGGGGGCGGTCACATGAGTGGTGTGACGTCACGTGCAAAGGGTCAATAGGGAGCCTAAGTCTCCTCCCTTTCTGGTCGGCTCCTGGAAGAACGAAGAAATGAATGCAAGCCAACGAGGCTGAAAGTGCTATTTTCTAATCTGCTTTGCCTTACGTCCTGGATCACACATATGTTGGACTGCTGTTTCAATAAAAAGTAACGATGTGTGTATCCACCACGCCTGTCACGTACTTTGAGATTCATCAGCTTGTAAAAGTTCGTAATTAGCATGACTACAAATCAGACGTCGGCACGTCGCATAAATGACGTCACCGCAGAATCTCCTCTCCCCTAGCGTAGCTGCTACTCACCACATGGCCAGATTTATGTTGGTTCTTTCCTCCTGAACTTACAGCCATTGTCCCTCTGCTTTTCTCTGTGTCTGGCTCGATGGCGTCACTTTGATGATGCGCATTTGTAGTCTTGGACTTATTTTCACACAAAACCTAAAATACCACCCCCCCCCCCCCCCCCAACTCATTCACTTCCAGTCGTTTCCTGATCGGTAAAGCCCTTTGCTGCCAGCGTTTCTCACTGTTTTTACTGTTTTTTTTTAAGAGTGTTAGGTAATTTATCAATCCAGGATTACCTTAGAGAAAGTTTAATGCACAGGGGGTTATAGTAATCAATCAATCAATCAATCAATCAATCAATCAACGCCAATACCAATTATAAACAGTCAATTTAGATTTTGCAAAGTGGAGAGAAGAATCAGTACACACCAAGAGTGAATTAGTTCATTCTCATTGGACTTCCGTCCTCCGACAGCATTTATTGAAAACACAAGCACACACGCACAATTCACATTCCTTAAGCTATTACGTAGACTTTCAGGCTGGAAGCTGCTAGTGAAAGGGAGTCTCCGCCCAGGTGCACACACTAAATCAACAAAGCAGTTTCTAGACTTTCTCATGGGAGTGTTACTGATAAAACCGACTCGCTTGGTCTGCCAGAAGCAGCTCGAAGGTCACTTCCTCCCTGTAAAGGCTACAGGATGACAGGGTTACAGGATGAATCCAGCGTTTATTTATTCTTAAGGAGCACCAGATGTTTTAACAGTCAAGAAATTAAGCTATAATAACAATATTTACTTGACAATGAGTGACACAACGTTGAGCGCTAGGATGATGTCGACACCAAAACAAAGCGGAGACTCACCTCTTACATCAGGAAGAATCCGCGCGTTTCGAGCGTTATCCGTTCTTTCATAATCCGTTGTTGAATTGTGATCGGCAGACGCTTTTCCGGTTCACGCCTCACTTTTTTACAGCAGAGGCCCAAAATGATCGCCTAACACATGGATGTTCTGCTTCCTGATCACGTGACGTGTGACGTATGCGGATGAAGATCGGCTTTAGAGCTGAGATGCTTGTTCTCACGGTGCGGGGGCTCGTCCGACGCCCACACAGTAAAAAAAAATGCAAATGACGATTTTAGTCATCACTGGCAGTGAATGAGTTAAAAATAAGCACTTTCGTGGCATCAAAATGTGTCTTAAAAATTCACGGACATCATATGTGAAATCTATGGTACAAAACAAGCGGAATTAGAAAATAGTGTTTTAGCCCCGTTGACTTGCATTCATTTATTCGTTCTTCCGGGGAACCATAGTCCGGAAGTAGATGGGCGTGAATTAGGTTCCCTGTTGCTTCAGAGTTATTGTTTGCTTTCACAATTCATGCAGACTGAGCCTCTGTAGCAGAAATGCGACAGTAAGTGAAACTAGGACATGATTTACATTTTTGAAGAGCTTTTAAAAAGCAGCAGTGGGTTCTTTTTGGTTTTTTCCACACAAAAAAAAAACCTCAAATCAAGTCATAGTATGAATTCACTTACAATATGTGGTCAGTGTCGTGTTTATGCCTCCCTTCTCTGTGTTCATTTATTTTCTCTACAGAGTGCACTGATGGAGCTGAGTGCTGTAGACCCCTGGGGAGCCCCTGCTACTGCCACCGTGAGCTCTGCTGGCCCTTCACCCCCACTCACGCTCGCTGGTCCCACTTCCTCTGGGCCGTGGGGCGCAGCGCCCACAGATCCATGGGGAGTAGCATCACCAACATCCCCCACGAGTTCTGACCCTTGGGGTGGGGGGGCCCCGCCCACTGTAGCCCCTCCTCCGGACCCCTGGGGGGAGTCTTCCAACAAAGTGAACAACGTGGATCCGTGGGGAAACTCCGGTAAGCCGTCACAGTTGTTAGTAAAGCGATCAGGTGGGTAAAAGTCGTTAAACAGAAGTGAGTTTCCAGCTGAAAGAGGATGTAAACACCTCAACCTTCATAGTACCACATCCCATAATTCATGTTCAGTCATGCCTTGCTGTCATTTGATCTCCTCATCCGCCCTAGATGCTTTCATTTTGTCACGAGGAAAGCCAGCATGTTGAATCCGTTCATCCATTCATTCTCCTAATGTATCTAAAGCAGAGATTCTTATCCTCTCGTTTCTACTCAGGACTGGCTGCGTCTCAACCAGAGCTGTTCCTTCTGTTGCCCTTTCACGCCTTTATTTTAACGCTTGGTGTTATCTCTTATCTCTCCTTTACCTCCACTCGTCTTTGGGTGTTAAATCAGGGTGATTTGGTGGACGGCTGAGAAAAGTGTCCCTGTTCCGTCTTCACCAGTAAAACCAGTTTCATTAAGAGGTTAGGGAGAGAGAAAAGCCACTGTTTGAACCCAGTCCAGCTTCCTGCTTCCTCCTTTCTGTGGGTTGTACCTGTAAGGTGTTGTGTTAACCCTCCCCTCCCATGCATCTCCTCCCCTTCCCTGTAGCTGTGACCCCCCCCAGTGCTGACCCCTGGGGCTCCCCAGTGCCACCCAGCACATCCTCCTCAGGGGGGCCGGTAAACCCCTGGGTGGGGGAGGGGGCCCTCCCTGCCTCTGACCCCGTCTCCTCCTCCGACATCTGGAGTGGCTCCGCCAAACATACTAACGGCACAGGTACATCCACACTGAAGCTTCATGGACTCACAAACACATATGAAGGGATTTTCACGTTTTACACAAAGATTTTCAGTCGCGTTACTCAACAGTTGTCCCGTCTGACATTTCATCCTCCTGTAGTGTGTGTGAGCAGCCAGGTGTGTGTTCACGCTCTGTTTTACACTCGTAATGTTCCACATTCTCTTCGTTCACCCCCACCTGCACACAGGCGATCCAGAGCGGCGAGGGTCTTCGACAACAGGCGTTGACGGCACAGGCTCACCGGTGCCCTTTGACCTTTCTTCACTTGGTTCTTCACTTCCTGTTCGTAAAACCCCCGAGTCCTTCCTCGGCCCCAACGCAGCACTTGTTGACCTCGATTCCCTGGTGTCTTCTACGCCCAAACCCAAACAGGCGCCGCCTCCTTCCATCTCTGCATCTTCAACAAACAACCCCTTCCTTCAAAACACAGGTCAGATGCAGCTGAAATAAATTTTTCTATTTATTGGCATCTTGTTATTTTTAGGGTTAGCCATGTTGTAGGGGTGGGCGATACAGCCTAAAATCTATATTGCGATATAATTTGAAAAATGTGCGGTAACGGTATATATTGAGATATATAACTTTCTTGTGTATATATGTCAAAAACAACTGTTTCTAAACATACTCACATACCAGATACATTGCAGCAGCAGAATAAACACACTCGTAACGTGGATCGAGCGTCTTAATCGTGTCCCGAAAGCCGCTTTTCTCCACCGTAAGAAACGGCACCATGTCCTTACACAGGTACGTGGTAATGGCATTTGTAGTATCAATCCACCGTTGATTATTTCTCTCATACTGAGTGCCTTTAGCAAATGCTTGTAAAATATCCGTCTGCTGGTGTGTAAGACCACCTTTTTTCTTACCGCTCGACTGACTGGGCGTTCGTTGAGGACGCGGTTTTTGGCTTTCTTCGTATTCCACAACGTGCTTCGTTTTGAGGTGGTAAAACAAATTAGATGTATTCCCTCTATTCACTAATACTTTCTTCCGGCATACTTTGCAGATTATACTGTTCTGGTCCACATCCGACTCCTTAAAGCCAAACCAAGTCCAAATGACCGATGTTGCACCGGTCTTTATGAGAACCTCCTCCACCACAGGCTCCATGATTTCAGCCTCAACAGACGCCGCTTGATGACGTCATCAACATGCGCTACCTACATTTATAGGACTGGGTACCAAACTTTCTGTGCTAGATTTCAGTTCTTTCCTAATAAAACGTTCCAGTTTAGGAGCTGCGCCGCCACGTTCCTTCGGCTGCGCATTACATAACTGAAGAACGCCGCTCTCTCTTTCTTGCAACATTTCTCCCAAGTTCACCGAGCAGGAAAACGCGGAAAACTCGAGTTTTGGTTGCGTTTTGTGAAAGTAAACGGCAACAGAGTTAAATGTAACATCTGTGGTAAGATCTGTTGGTAAATGTGGAGACACCAGCAAATTAAAGCTGCTTTCCGGAGTTTTCCTCTTTCAGAAATGATGTATAATTTGTCAGAAATCTGTAAAAGTGATTATCTTATCATGTACTGTGATATAATATAAGCAATACATCTTTTTTTTGTTTTTTGCTAACCACGCCCCCTGCCCGGCAGAGCTCCGTGCAATAGGAAACTGAGCGCCAACCAGAACTAACCAAAAGCGTTAGACTACCGCTTAGACGTTTCAAATTTAAGGAATACCTCGGCTGATGCAGAGTTGATGAACTTTTCACGGACAAGAAATTTTCTAAAATATAAATATATGAAAACACAACATGACATGAGAATAATAGTTGTAAAACGTTTTTTAGCTGTTTGTCGGCTACAGAAGCACATTTAAAAACTGAAACGTGGAGTCGCCATCTTAATAAAACAGAGGATCAGCATTTTTGTGTGATACGCTTGTCAGCCACTAGATGGTGCCATCGGATGAGAGAAAAACTCGGGAAGGAAGCTTTAAAGCTTGGTTTATGCTTGACTCATTCAGTTTCCGCTTGGTGATGCGGCTCGCGGCTGGAACACGCTTCACAACTTGCAGCGTTTATGGTTCATGCGGCTCGTCTCTGCGGTGAGCCAATATTCTCCCAAACTGTAGGGGGCAGCATGGAGCTCTACGGCATGCATCCAACACTACACCGTAGTAGAAGTAGAAATTACTGTTGTTTACAACATGGCATTCCAGCATTTTTAACAGCGTCCTCGTCTTTTCCGACAGTGCGAGCTATTTCTCTCCAAGAATTATTAACAACACGTTGATCACGGTGATCTCTGAGAGCTGAACCATACACATGTCCGTATTTACGAACCTCTGCCATACTAGTTCTTGCTAGTCCGCCATGTTTTTCCATGTCCGACCGTCTGTGTGGTTAGAAAATTTCCTAGGTGCGCGGTGCGGAAATTTTGGGCCGAGCGGAGGCGCGGTGGAGGGGCGTGGTTGTTAAAAAGACGCAATTTCACCGTGCGAACCTCGCAGACGCGTCAAGCATAAACCAACCTTAATAAAGCACCTTGTTGTTCATGGCATTAGTTTGCGAGCTGAAACAAATAAACTGCAAATAAAAGAAAGGCAGACCTGAGTCTAGAACTTTCCTCCTCCATTGCAAAGTTGCTAGGACTCCTAATGCTGTACATGCTGTTGTTTCACTTCTTATTTATTTAGTATGTTTATACATTTATTTGGTTTATTTGGGAGCTAAACAGCTTTTATTCCAGGTTTTTATGGTAGATGTTTCATATTTCCTTTCACCAAAGAATAGATAATAGTTTGCACGTTTTCTTCATGCTGTCTACTTTTGTTTTGCATAAAAAGATTAATGCTGCAATTATGTTTTCAATAAAAACATTTCAATTGTGTGTCTTATTCTTGCTCTAAATAGAAAGGTGTTTGTTAAACTATAGTTTGCTGTTTGCACTGAAAGTTTGCAGTTTATTTTATTTATTTTTTTGCTAAAAAAAATTTAAGTACTTATATTATTAAAAATTGAAAATGCAGGTTCTGAGTGGTTCAGGTGCTGGTACCACAACATGTGTCTCTATTGTACGGGTTTCTGCTGTATAAAATCAAAATGACATGAAATCAATGTGATTTATCTATGGCTGCAGGTTCATCTCCAGCTCCAGGCATGGCTGTGACTCCAGGTAGTACGATCTCCAGCAGAGGGGTTTCTCCAACACCTGCCTCCTCCAACCCTTTTGGCGTTGCCCCTGCCATGACCTCAATCTCCCCCCAGCCCTCATCTTTAGGCCTGAGCGGCCTTCGCACCAGTCCTCTGCCTCCCAACCCCATGCTGGGAATGGTTCAACCAGGAATGGGCATGGGGCCGATGAGCATGGGAATAGGGGCTCCAGGACTCGGCCTGGGCACGATGCAGGCCAGCCCCATGGGAATGCCATTTGGCGGTCTCTCCCCGATGGGACCCCCAGCCGCTGCTCTTTTGGGGCCAGGAGTAATGCCACCCCCTCAAAAGATTTTGGGTGGGCCCACAGGTGCAGGAGGAGTAATGGGAGCGGGGGGACCCATGGGAGGTGGCGGGACAACGGGAGCAAGTACCAATCCGTTTCTTCTTTGAGGAAGCTTCGCCACTACTTCGCTCACCATTCTGCCTCCTCCGTCGCACACGCTGCCCCCTTTTTCATTCATCTGCCCCTCAGAGAAAAATGTCTACATCTGTATATATAAAGGAAAAAATCAAACAAACGTTTATCTTTTCCTTTAAAAAGCATTATTTCATTTCAGAATAATTTAGTTCCTTTAATTTCAAAATCCAATATTTTTTGGGCGTCAAGAGTATTTATTTACGTTTTAATCTTCTGTTTTTGTGTCGTCGTGTTTGTTTCTGGTCACCTGTCCCGAGGTGAAGGTAAGTCCATGAGAGCAGGTAGTTTTGTTCCCAGTAGTGCCACTCGACTCTTCGTACCGCTGCACACGAGAGAGTGGGAGGAGGAGGCCACATAGCCACTGACAAACTGATCAGACGGACTGTTGTTACCTGCCTCTTCCTCCTGTTTCCTCCCTCTAGAATGAAGGCAAACACTGAATCACTGAAATGAAACTAGTGCATGAAGGACGCATTTTTAAAGGACTGAGACTGAAAAACCTGCATCAACATTTCAGGCACAATTGTGATCAAATCGTCTCAAAGTTTTCACTTTTAATTTAATTTAATGTTAAATGTAATTTATTTTTTTCCAATACTTGGGAGCAAATAAAGCAGAACGTTCACGCTATGATGCCATTTAAATCAAATGCTTATTTTTCCCCTTGATGTTGAAAACTTCAGGTGTCTGACGTTTGTGGTCAGAGGCAGAAGAAACGTGAATGTGAATGAGAACGCTCACTCATGAGTAATTGTCTCCCATTTTATTTTTTTATATACGTGTTTGATCTCATTTCAGCGATTCAGGATGGAGAAACGACATCCATTACTTTGAAAACGAGGTGCAGTATTGGTTTTCACTGGAGGAATCAAAAGGGTCGCCTCGTTTTTATTTTTATCCACACGTTTCATGTTGGGTCCGTGACGTGCAGCAACACTGTCCTCGTGTTTCACCCCTCTTTGTGAAGGGAGGGCTGCTGATGCTTCTTTAAAAAGAGACGATTACTTCAGCGGATGACAGGAAAAACACAGGGACATGATAAAAAAAACATGCTCCATGATTTTAGTTTGATGAATTTATTATTTTATATCAAGAAAAAATATCTTATCAGTTCAGGTTGAATTTTGTGTGGTGTCAACTGTGAACATTCACATTTGAAAAGTAAAATGGAGAAAAAAATTAAAGAAATTTATGAAATAAAATAAAAATGCAGATTGTGTGTTGGACTTTTTCCTGCGTATACAAATATTGCAGAGATTATGAATAGAGTAAAACATCCAGGAGACATCACACCCTGACAATACCTACGACAAAACAGAAAATCAAAACATCTTTGTTGGTATGAGACAAAAAGTCTTAAAGGAGACCTATGACTTTTTTCTTGCATTACAATTGTTCTTGATAAAGATTTCAGATGTTTAATTTTCAGTATCCTCCAGAATGAGCCATTTCAGGTCTGTCACTATAAGAAAACACACAGCAGCTGACCACGCCCACCCTTTCTCCTCTCAGGCTGCTATAAGCTGAGAAGCTCCCATATCCAAGAGGGACGGGACAGCACGTGTCTTGCATGTGAGAGGTGGTTATGTTCTAAATTTCCCTATTTATGACATAAACAGGGACTTTTTGAAACGACTTGTTTTAGGTACATTACTAAAACCAAACACTAACAGAAAACTGATATATAGGGTTTTTTTTATGTTTGGAGTGTATTGAGGCAGTAGAGACCCACATGGCAGCACAAATAGATGTAAAAGGTGAGTTTTACACATACTTGAACAAATCATTTTTTACACATACTCATAAATTCATTAAGGAGGCATTCCTCAGGAACATTTAGAGATTTTTCTGTACATAAAGGTCAAACAAGGGAATCCCAGTCAAAGTCGTCCTGGATCTCCTCGCTGTTGCTTTTCAGATTCTTGAGTGGAGGACGCTGTCGCGGCACCCCTGACTGAGGCTGGATCCCAGCTGACATGGGAAAAAAAACAAGGAGTGAAAAATATGCTATTTCTCTCCATAAATTCAAAATACTTCAATTCTGCACTGAACAGTTCACGCAAACAGCTGAGTCATATATTTATCCTTTTTAGACTCACTGGCCAGATGTGGTCTCTGAATTCCTGGTCCCTGCATGGGTAGGGGCCTCCGGGGCGGCTGCGTTCCATTGGTGGGAGGGAACATGGGAGGGTAGGGAAGTGGTGATGGGTGAGTGAGGAGAGGAGGCGGTGGGTTAGAGGTCAGCGGTGATGCTTGAAATGAGTGGGGCACACCGAGGGTGATGGGGGAGTTGTTTCCAGGGGTGATCATGCCTTTGTCAGAGAAGAAGCGGTTCAGAGAGTCACAGAGGGAGGTGAAGAGCGTTGGATCTAAGGCCCAGTCACAAAGCTCCGCCTTCTTCATGCTCTCCAGCAGGTCTGGAAACAACAGACAGTTGTCATTTACCAGAAAAAGCTCAAAAAACTTCTATATACAATGGATATATAACAAATATGTTTATGTATTTAGCAGACGCTTTTGTCCAAAGCAACTTACAAGTGATAATTGGCATGTTGCCCTTGACGCTAACAACAACAACTTGACATCAATCATGGAGAGTAGGGAACAAAGGAGTGGACAGTAGAGAGGGGGGACGGGTGCAGGGAGGGTGCTAGTTTAGAAGATGCTCTCTGAAGAGCAGGGTCTTCAGGAGTTTCTTGAATATTGAAAAGGAAGCCACTGTTCTGGTAGTGCTTGGAAGGCCATTCCACATTTGTGGAACGATGCATGAGAAGAGTCTGGATTGTCCTGAGCGTGGTGTAGGCACTGCTAGCCGACGATCCTGTGATGACCGGAGCGGCCGGGCCGAGACGTAAGCCTTCGCAAGAGGATTCAGGTAGATGGGAGCCGTACGATCTCGGACTTTGTATGCTAGTGTTAGCAATTAGAATTTGATGCGTGCTGCTAGCGGTAGCCAATGGAGCTCAATGAACAGAGGGGTGACGTGTGCTCTTTTTGGCTGATTGAAGAACAGACGCGCCGCTGCATTCTGGACCATTTGAAGAGGTCTCACAGTACAGCCTGGAAGACCAGTTAGAAGGGCATTGCAGTAATCGAGGAGGGAGATGACAGTAGATTGCACCAGTGGCATGTTGTGTTAGGTATGGTCTGATCTTTCGTATGTTATACAACATATGAGGCAACAGAGGCAACATGATCTTTAAAGGTCAGGTGTTCATCAATCACAACTCCCAGATTTCAAACTGCCTTTGAAGGAGCCAGAGATAGGAAGTCATTTTGGATTGAGATATTGTGCTGTATGGATGGTTTTGCTGGGATGACAAGTAGTTCAGTTTTAGAGAGGTTGAGTTGGAGATGGTGGGATTTCATCCATTTTGATATGTCAGGGAGACAGTTCGATATTCGTGCAGAGACAGTGTGGTCGTCCGGTGGAAATGACAGATAGAGCTGGGTGTCGTCTGCATAGCAGTGGTAGGAGAAGCCATGTGATCGAATGATCTCACCCAGTGAGGTGGTGTATATGGCAAAGAGAAGAGGTCCTAGTACTGAGCCCTGGGGGACTCCTGTGGCAAGATGGTGCACGGTAGAGGATTGTCCAAGACAAGATACACTGAATGATCATCCTGTGAGGTGTGATTCAAATCAGGCGTGTGCTTTCTCTGTGATCTTTCATGGCGGTTAAAACGAAGAGTCGGAGTACCCGGCCCGGAGGGTTACCGGGGTCCCACCCTGGAGCCAGGCCTGGGGTTGGGGCCCGTGAGCGAGCGCCTGGTGGCCGGGCTTTCGCCCATGGGGCCCGGCCGGGCCCAGCCCGAACCGGATACATGGGCTCGTCCAACTGTGGACCCACCACCCGCAGGAGGAACATGAAGGGTCCGGTGCAATGCGAATCGGGTGGCAGACCAAGGCGGGAGCCTTGGCGGTCCAATCCCCGGACAAGAAAACTAGTTTTTGGGACATGGAACGTCACCTCGCTGGCGGGGAAGGAGCCGGAGCTTGTGGCAGAGGTTGAGCGGTACCGGCTAGATATAGTCGGACTCACCTCAACACATTGCATTGGCTCTGGAACCCGAGACCTGGAGAGGGGTTGGACACTCTACTTTGCTGGAGTTGCTCCGGGTGAGAGGCGGAGGGCTGGGGTTGGCTTTTTGTTAGCCCCGAGACTCTCTGCCTGTGTGTTGGGGTTTACCCCGGGGGACAAGAGGGTAGCTTCCTTGCGCCTTCGGGTCGGGGAACGGGTCCTGACTGTTGTTTGTGCTTATGGGCCAAATATCAGTTCAGAGTACCCACCCTTTTTGGAGTCCCTGGGACGAGTGCTAGATAGTGCTCCATCAGGGGACTCCATTGTCCTGCTGGGGGACTTCAATGCTCACGTGGGCAATGACAGCTTGACCTGGAGGGGTGTGATTGGGAGGAACGGCCCACCTAATCTGAACTCGAGCAGTGTTTTGTTATTGGACTTCTGTGCAAGCCGCAGTTTGGCCATAACGAACACCATGTTCGAACATAAGGATGCCCACCGGTACACTTGGTACCAGGGCAGCCTAGGTCACAGGTCGATGATAGATTTTGTAGTCGTATCATCTGACCTGCGGCCGTATGTTTTGGACACCCGAGTGAAGAGAGGGGCGGAGCTGTCAACTGATCACCACCTGGTGGTGAGTTGGATCAGATGGCAAGGGAACATGCCGCGTAGACCTGGCAGACCCAAACGCATAGTGAGGGTCTGCTGGGAACGCCTGGCAGAAGAACCTGTCAAGACGGTCTTCAACTCCCACCTCCGGCAGAGCTTTGACCACGTCCCGAGAGCAGTGGGGTACATTGACTCCGAGTGGGCCTTGTTCCACTCTGCGATTGTCGAGGCGGCTGTTGCTAGCTGTGGTCGTAAGGTGGCCGGTGCCAGTCGTGGTGGCAACCCCCGTACCCGCTGGTGGACACCAGAGGTTCGGGGAGCCGTCAGGCTGAAGAAGGAGGCCTACAGGGCGTGGCTGGTCTGTGGGTCTCCGGAGGCAGCAGACAGGTACCGGATAGCCAAGCGGAGTGCAGCAGTGGCAGTTGCCGAGGCAAAATCTCGGGCGTGGGAGGAGTTTGGTGAGGCCATGGAGAAAGACTATCGATCGGCTCCAAAGAGGTTCTGGCAAACTGTCCGGCGCCTCAGGAGAGGAAGGCAGCAACTCGCTCACACTGTTTACAGTGGGGATGGGGAGCTGCTGACGTCAACTGAGGCTATAGTCGGACGGTGGAAGGAATACTTTGAGGAGCTCCTCAATCCCACCAATGCGCATTCCGAGGAGGAACCAGAGCTGGGAGGCCTGGGGATGGACTGTCCGATCTCGGGGGCAGAAGTTGCTGAGGTAGTCAAACAACTACACAGCGGCGGAGCCCCGGGGGCGGATGAGGTTCGTCCTGGGTATCTCAAGGCTATGGATGTTGTAGGGCTGTCATGGTTGACACGTCTCTACAACATTGCGTGGTCATCGGGGGCAGTTCCTAGGGAGTGGCAGACCGGGGTGGTGGTCCCCATCTTTAAGAAGGGTGGCCTGAGGGTGTGTTCCAACTATAGGGGGATCACACTCCTCAGCCTCCCTGGAAAGGTCTACTCCAAGGTACTGGAGAGGAGGGTCCGATCGATAGTTGAATCTCAGATAGAGGAGGAGCAATGTGGTTTTCGTCCTGGCCGTGGAACTGTGGACCAGCTCTATACCCTTACAAGGGTGATGGAGGGGGCATGGGAGTTTGCCCAACCAATCCACATGTGCTTTGTGGATTTGGAGAAGGCTTATGACCGTGTCCCCAGGGGCACCCTGTGGGGGACGCTCCAGGAGTATGGGGTGGGTGGCTTTCTGTTAAGGGCCATTCAGTCCCTTTACCAGAGGAGCGTGAGTTTGGTCCGCATAGCCGGTAGTAAGTCGGACCTGTTCCCAGTGAGGGTTGGACTCCGCCAGGGCTGCCCTTTGTCACCGGTTCTGTTCATCACTTTTATGGACAGAATTTCTAGACGCAGCCGTGATGTGGAGTGTGTCGAGTTTGGTGGCAGGAGAATCTCGTCTCTGCTTTTTGCGGATGATGTGGTCCTCCTAGCTTCATCCAGCTCTGACCTTCAGCTCTTGCTGGGTAGGTTTGCGGCCGAATGTGAAGCGGCTGGGATGAGGATCAGCACCTCCAAATCTGAGACAATGGTTCTCGACCGGAAAAGGGTGGCTTGCCACCTCCGGGTCGGGGGAGAGGTCCTACCTCAAGTGGAGGAGTTTAAGTATCTCGGGGTCTTGTTCACGAGTGAGGGTAGGAGGGATCGGGAGATCGACAGGCGGATTGGTTCGGCGTCTGCAGTGATGCGGACGCTGAGCCGATCTGTCGTGGGGAAGAGGGAGCTGAGCCAGAAAGCCAGGCTCTCGATTTACCGGTCGATCTACGTCCCAATCCTCACCTATGGTCATGAGCTTTGGGTAATGACCGAAAGAACGAGATCGCGGATACAAGTGGCCGAAATGAGTTTCCTCCGTAGGGTGGCCGGGCTAAGCCTTAGAGATAGGGTGAGGAGCTCGGACATTCGGGAGGGACTCGGAGTAGAACCGCTGCTCCTCCGGATCGAAAGGAGCCAGTTGAGGTGGTTTGGGCATCTGGTCAGGATGCCTCCTGGACGCCTCCCCGGGGAGGTGTTTCGGGCATGTCCTGCCGGCAGAAGGCCCCCGGGTCGACCCAGGACACGTTGGAGAGGTTACATCTCCAATCTGGTCCGGGAACGCCTTGAGGTCCTGCCGGAGGAGCTGGTGGAGGTGGCCGGGGAGAGGACGGCCTGGAGCTCCCTAGTTGGGATGCTGCCCCCGCGACCCGGACCCGGATAAGCGGAGGAAGACGACGACGACGACGACGACGCTTTCTCTGTGATGCCCATGCTAGAGAGTGTGGACAAAAGGAAGCCATGGTTGACAGTGTTAAATGCAGCCGATAAGTCGAGCAGGATAAGCACTGAGGATTTGGCAGTCGCTGTAGCTTCTTTTAAGGAATCCGTCACTGCTAACAGAGCAGTTTCAGTGGAGTGGCCCTTTTTGAACCCAGATTGGTAAGGGTCAAGCAGACAGTTTTGTGAGAGGTATTTTGTGATCTGCTTGAAAGCCACCATATATATATATAACATGGAGTCATGTTTCCACTATAAAAGTTCTGGGAAATTTCTGGGATGTGTACATTTGGATGTAAAAATCAGCGATCAACCCACATTTTTCAGTGTTAGGGTTTAAAAATGGTTATTTTAAAGCGGCGGCAATGCTGCTTATTTTATTTTCCTTCCATTCCGCTTCACCAGCATCTGTTCCAATTTTACTGATGCAGGTTGTAAATATCTGCTGATGTCATTTCCTACTGAGTTACAATCAATCAGAATGAGATGACCACAAGTCCCGCCCAGCGACTCTACAGGGCTTTTCTGAGTACATACCCCAGTTCAGGTACTCGGCTGGTTCCTGAAAAGGCTCAGAAAAGCTCCTTTCAGGACGGCTCAGTGAAATGGAGACGCGCACGCCACGAAGATCCAGTAAAATTACCCGTGAGTTACGATAGTGGAAACAGACCTTACTGTAAAAGAGATCTTCATAAACACTCCTGATTTCTTCCGTTATTACTTTTGAAACAAGTTATAAATATAATAAAAACCAAAACAAATCAAGGCAACCGATAACATAATCTAATAGTCTCTGGTTGACCTTAAAGAGACAATAGTTTTTAATTTCTGGAAATATCCATCAAAATGTTGAAAATGAATGAAAGGATGCCCAGATGTTGCTAAAGTTTGTGCTCGCCGGGGATTTTTGACCCTAACGGCCATCTGTTGGAAAGGTCTTACTCCAACACAAAAATACTGCTTGATTGCAACGATTTAGGGATCTACTGCCCTCTATCTGCAGAAAAAATAAACACTTTCACTTTAAATGTGTCAAAAAAACACAAACATTTTAAAATAAATTTTGAATAAACTCATCAAAAATTTTGTTTTGGAAAATGCATCATGAACAAAATCCATTTTAGTCAAATTTGTGCTAATTCTCCTTTTTCAGTCTTCATAAGTGACTGCTCATGCCTGAATTATGAAAAATCAAGGATATTTTCCAAAGTGTTTTTGTTAATCTAAAGGTGTTGAAAGGACGATTTTAACTTCATTTCTTTACACGAATTTTTAAAGAGATTCTCTCTTTTTTTTCTCGTCTTCTTCCGCCTATCCGGGTCCGGATCGCAGGGGCAGCATCCCAACTAGGGAGTTCCAGACCGTCCTCTCGCCGGCCACCTCCACCAGCTCCTCCGGTAGGACCCCAAGGCGTTCCTGGGCCAATTCGGAGATTAATTTCTCCAACGTGTCCTGGGTCGACCAGGGGGCTCCTGCCTGAAACACTTCCCTGTGGAGGCATCCTAACAAGATGCCCAAACTACCTCAACTGACTCTTTTTTTTTAAAAGAATGAAATATCTAATTACTAATACCAAATTATTATTGAATATGCTGAAGCAAGATGAGAATTTTATCCCAAATAAAGCTGCCTTGTATTTTTAAACCAGGGAGATGTCCCTGGGCTGCGCAGTGGAGCAGTGGTTAGAGCTGTTGCCTTGCAGCGAGTGGGTCTTGGGTTTGCTTCCCAGCCTGGGATCTTTCTGCATGGAGTTTGCATGTTCTCCCTGTGCATGCGTGGGTTCTCTCCGAGTACTCCGGCTTCCTCCCACAGTCCAAAAACATGACTGTTAGGTTGATTGGTCTGTCTAAATTGTCCTTGTGTGTTTGTGTGTGTGTGTGCGTGCGTGCATGCGTGCATGCGCGTGCATGTGTGTGTGTGTCTTGTGTCTCTGTGTTGCCCTGCGATGGACTGGCCCTCTGTCCGGGGTGTACCCCGCCTGATTGCCCATTGACTGTTGGAGATAGGCACCAGCCCCCCCGTGACCCTGCATGGACGAGCGGGTTCAGACAATGGATGGATGGATATGTTCCTTTCCTTTTACATTAAGGGGCGGGGCTTATCACCAGGTGATGGCTGTTTGTTCTACTTCAGATCTTGGGTTGACAGTTAAAAGAGTTGCTTGTGTGTAAGTAAACGATCAACACCCACACAGTGTATATACAAGGATACACCTTTGAAATAGTCTTTGTGAGCTCAGTAAAAATGGCTCAGAGAAAACTTATTTTCTGATTTGCCAGAACCCTTCTCGCAACACAGCAATTGGTTTTGGTACATTTTTGGTTGAGGACTTAAACGGGGCAGACCTGGGTGACTAGAGAGGTCGATGTTCGCCCAGTCCAGGCTGCTGGCGATCCTGAAGCTCTCCTTGAGAGAATCTGTGTTGCTGAACCAGTTGGGAGGCAGCGCTGCAGCAGAAGGAAGAGGCGCAAAGTTGAAAAATAAATTTGGTGCTTTGTTTATGTATACATACATTTTTTTCTGGGCTATGAAGATTTAACAAAACTCACTGTGCTGTGGAACACGTTCCATCTCTGGAGCCTGTGCAGCTGCAGCAGGCAGAGCGGGTGCTGCACCTGATGCAGGTGGTGCAAAGGTAGGATAAGGGGACGTCGGCAGCACAGTTGGAGTGTGGAGTGGTGTAGTGTCATTGTTTGTGCCAAATAAGGGAGCTACATCCGCTTTGAGAAAAAGAAATATTTAATCCCAACATGTTGCTCATACATGTGGAGAGCTGCGTGCACGGCTGTATACTTACAGAACGACCCTCCTCTCTCCCGCATCGTTCTAAAGAGAGACTTAAAAGAGGCAAACAAGTCTGGAATGTTCAGCTCATCGAAGGAGAAACGCAGTGGAGGATCAGCAGAGGAGTTGGATGAAACAACCGGATGGGCGGCGTTGGATAGGGATGAGTAACTGGGCGCTGACACGGTGCAAACAGGCAGGGGTGTGGAGTTGATACCGCAGGGGAAAGCAGAAACAGGTGGAGGAGCTGAGGCTGCAGGAAAGGACAGCACTGCCTCAGTAAAAGAGGGCCCTGCTGGAGAGGCCGGAGACACGTTGACAGCAGATGATGGTGAAGCTGAAGCAGCAGGGATGGAAAAGGTGGAGACAGGTGTGTTGGGAGGAGGGAAGGAATTGATGGACGGCATGGGAGCTGCTGGTGGGGGCCCAGTTGATTGGGGGACAGGTAAATGTGATGCAGGGTGGCTTGAGATGTGGGTTGGTATGTAAGGTGATGGTTGCTGTGAAGATGAAGATAAGAAGATAAGTCACGTAACTCCCAACAAACACGTCTGTGGTATGAGAACAGAGAGCGTGTGTCTACCTTGCATGGGACCGGTGAGTGGGGAGAGTGCTGCTGGACGGGTCCAGCTGGAGAGGAGTTACCAAGCGTTGGGTCATCACGGGACATTCTTTGGAGTTGACGAGGAGACGATCCTCTGTCTGCTTTTGTCTCTACTGGTTGACAAATCTGTAACAGCACAGGGTTTTATGGGTTTAATGCACCGAAGTTCTGCATGAACGTAGCATTATAACTGAAATAAAATAGTTGGTTGAGCTAAAAATAAATCGACACATCCGAACAGTGAGAGAAATTTTAAATCGGTTGTCAGGTTTTGCAACATGCTAGGTTTTAGCTAACCCTAACCCTAACACGGTCACCGAACACTCACCCCTCCCCTCGGGTGTCTTCCCTTAGCCGGAACCAGAACAGTTTTAACTGTTTTGGTTCCATTTATCCATTGGGCAGCAGCTCAGGTGGTAAAGCATGTTGTCCAGTTATTGGAGGGTTGTACGATCAATCCAGTCTTAGAGAATGCTGCTGTTGTGTCCTTGAGCAAGACACCTAACTGTCATGTTCTGTGTCCCTTTGTTCCCCAGCCCCCTCCTGTTCCCACTCCAGGCTCTCCTCTTGTGTCCTCCTAGTCACTCCCTGGTTTTCCTAGTTGTCTTTAGATTAGTTCTCCTCACCCATCTGGTTATTAGTAGTTTATTTCCGGAACTGCGCTGCTCTGGGTGGCTGCATGTTGGAGTAGCTCTGTTGACTATATGTAAGTTTTGCCTTTTCTTGGGCATTTTTTCTTCTAGTTTCTCAAGAAAAACTGTATTTTTTTGGACATTTTACTTTTCTGTTTCTGGTGCTGTGAAGCTTGGAGGATTTTTACAGCTATTTTTTAGCTTTTTTTCACTTTTTGAGCATTTGTTATGATGCGTAACCATGGCAACGAGCTGGTTTACAACCGGGAGCAGCTGATTAACTTTGGAAAGGCTGAAATAATACCTCAACTGAAGCCACAAATCCCAATTGAGCTAAAACGCAAGAAGTGTGGTTGCAGAGCGGGAGCAAAACGGAGACAGAGACAGTGGAAATTCAAACCATCTCTTCCATCGATCCTAATGGGCAATGTGAGATCACTGGCCAACAAGATGGAGGAACTCCAAGCCCTTTCAGGGACTCCGCCAGAGTTTCGGCAGTTTCTGAACCGCTGGAGGAGATAATGCAAAGAAGGATTCTCCAGAGAATCAAGAAAATGATGGACAACCCTGAGCGTTCTCCTCACAAGACTGTCCGACAACGGAAGAGTGTCTTCAGTCAGAGGCTTCTTCAGTTTGGCTGCAACACTGACCGCTACTGGAGATCCTTCCTGCCAACAGCCATTGTAATATACAACAACTCTTTGATGACTTGATTATTATTATTATTCTGAGCTACTACAGCAATCAATTTCCCTCTGGGATTAATAAAGTATTTTTGAATTGAATTGAATTTTTGCCCTCTGTCTTTTAGGTTTAGTTAGATCCATGTTTTATAGGTTAATGTTTATCTGCCCTCCTGCCAAGCTCTTTCCCTTCCCATTTAGTTAATTGGTTCCTCTTCTCCTCAGCTCACACTCCCCACACCTGTCACCTGTTTCCCTGATTACCTCCCTCTGCATTTAAAAGCCTTGTCTTGTCACTCTGTGTTTGTTGGTTCATTGCATTCATCAGCGTGTTTCCGTCCTCCTCGTGTCTTCCTAGTCCGTGCTCACGAATGAGTTTTCTGTTTGTTTTTTGGTAAGATTTAGTTTGGTTTGTTTTTTAGTGCCTTTTGGACTTTGGCACATCCTCCTTTAAAATAAAAGATTTTCTTTTGAATACTTCTCCTGCCTTGAGTCGTTCTGGGTTCTACATTTTGGTTTCCACCTCCTCCATCCTGACCGTGACACTAACTCCTGCCACTGGTGGTCGGAGGGACCGGTGGAGCCTGTGCTCGACAGCCTCGCCTCTGTCAGTGCGTCCCAGTGCAGAGGTGGCTACATCACCACCACAGTGTGAATGACTGATTGTCTTGTAAAGCGCCTTGGTTTTTTTTTTTTAATCTGGAAGGTACCGTATCAAATACAGGCTACTTATCATTCATCCAAAGCTGGGTTTTGGAGGTCACTGGTCCAGGAGGGAAACCCAGACATCCATCTCCCCAGTAACCCTGTCCAGCATTCTCTGACCACAGAGGATATAAAATGCATCTGGAAAGTGGATCTATCTCAGGGTCTCTTCCTGGTAAAACCTCCCAGAAAAAGGCAACCAAGAGGAATCCTAGTCACACATCTGAACCAACACCTCATCTTGGCATCAGATAGCCTTCTAGGTCTGACACGACTTCTTTGATCACTTTCCTCATTTTTAAAATCAAACATGACATGCTGTCACAGTCAGCTAGATTAGTCACTAAATTAGTGATAATTAGCTTAAAGGGGATGTATTATGCAAAATTTGCATCCTTGTGTGCTGCCATGTGGGTCTTTACTAAACTGGCCTGCCAGAAGAAGGAGAAGAAGATCTTTTCTGTGGCGCCTCTAAAGATAAAAATCACGAGGCGCTTCACAAAAACAAAAAATGTAAAATATAACCTTTGACCTTTAGCCTGGTGCTGCACAACCAGTAGGCTTTGATCACTGGACCTCAGGGACCTGCTGGGGGTGTAGGGACTAAGAAGATCACCAATGTATGATGGTGCTTGTCCATGTAAGGCCCTATAGACAAGAACCAGGATCTTGAAATGAACCCTGAAGTTGACTGGCAGCCAGTGAAGCTGGAGGAGAAGAGGGGTGATGTGGGTGTGTTTGGAGGACTTGGTCAGAAGCCGAGCACAGGTGTTCTGAACCACCTGTAGACGGTTCAGGGAGGTTCTGCTCAGACACGTGAAAAGAGAGTTACAGTAGTCTAAGCGTGAGGAGATGGAGGTGTGGAGAACTGTCTCAAGTTCAGAGCGGGACAGAATGGGACTCAGCTTAGCAACGTTCCTGAGATGGAAGAAGGAAGAGCGAACAAGAGAACTGACATGAACTGACAGAGACTCCTCCTCTGTTTAATTCTGCACAGAGAAAGGGTCTGGGAACCCTCATATTCAAATCACCCCACCCCGTGCGAATTCTAACCGAGCCAATCAGCACTGAGCATTGTTTATCACACACCATAACGCCGAGTTTGTTATAAACTTGGCAATTAAAGCAGAGTTCGCTGCGGCTCTTTCCTCTGTTCTAAATGACTTGGACACGTCTTTAAAACCACAAGTAGAAGCGCTAAAAGCCTTTCTTCTATAGAAAGGTGTTTGCGCTGTCACCAGACGCCATTTTTGACTACAGCTATAAAACTCAACCTTTTCTCGACCGGGAAAGGGTGGCTTGCCAACTCTGGGTCGGGGGAGAGGTCCTACCTCAAGTGGAGGAGTTTAAGTATCTCGGGGTCTTGTTCACGAGTGAGGGTAGGAGGGATCGGGAGATCGACAGGCGGATTGGTTCGTCGTCTGCAGTGATGCGGACGCTGAGCCGATCTGTCGTGGTGAAGAGGGAGCTGAGCCAGAAAGCCAGGCTCTCGATTTACCGGTCGATCTACGTCCCAATCCTCACCTATGGTCATGAGCTTTGGGTAATGACCGAAAGAACGAGATCGCGGATACAAGCGGCCAAAATGAGTTTCCTCCGTAGGGTGGCCGGGCTCAGCCTTAGAGATAGGGTGAGGAGCTCGGACATTCGGGAGGGACTCGGAGTAGAACCGCTGCTCCTCCGGATCGAAAAGAGCCAGTTGAGGTGGTTTGGGCATCTGGTCAGGATGCCTCCTGGACGCCTCCCTGGGGAGGTGTTTCGGGAATGTCCTGCCGGCAGGAGGCCCCCGGGTCGACCCAGGACACGTTGGAGAGGTTACATCTCCAATCTGGTCCGGGAACGCCTTGGGGTCCTGCCGGAGGAGCTGGTGGAGGAGGCCGGGGAGAGGACGGCCTGGAGCTCCCTAGCTGGGATGCTGCCCCCGCGACCCGGACCCGGATAAGCGGAGGAAGACGACGACGGCTATAAAACTACAGCATTGCGGACGTCACACACAGCAACGCTCAGTTTCTCATAAACAACGAAGACAGTGGCAGAGTTCGCTGCGGCTCTTTCCTCTGTTCCAATTGACTTGAATGTCTTTAAAACCACAACAAGTAGAAGCGCTAAAAGCATTTCTCCTAAAAGAATAAAAGATGTCTGCGCCGTTGTCAGACGCTATTTTTAACTACAGCTAAAATAAACTACAGTGTCTTTTTTCTGACTGGTTATCCTTGAGCTGCCTAGTCCCGCCCCTCAAGTCCCTCTCTGCCTGTGAGTTACCAGACTCTTTCTCTGTGCAGAATTACACAAGAGGACGAGTCTGGCAGGCCAGGCTAGGTATCTACTGCCTCTGTAAACAATTCAAACATGAAAAAACCTGTCTGTCTGTTTCCTGTTGGTTTTAAGTATAATGTGCCTAAAGCCAATCATTTTAAAAAGTCCACATTTGTGATGTCACAGTTAGAACAGAGCCACCCCTCACGTGCGAGAGCTGCTGATTGAGGAGCAGCAACTCTACTCTGAGCCGCTACTGCATATCAGAGCTTCTCAGATAATAGCAGCCTGAGTGGGGGATGGGTGGACGTGGTAAGATACAGCTTGTTTTGTAAAGGTTGGTTTGTGCTTGACGCGTCCGTGAGGTTCGCACGGCTCCACGCTGCAAAATTGTGTCATTTTAACAACCACGCCCCTCCACCGCTCCTCCGCACGACCCAAACTTTCCGCACCGCGCACCTAGGAAGTTTTCTAACCACGCAGACGGTCAGACATGGAAAAACATGGCGGACTGGCAAGAACTAGCATGGCAGAGGTTCGTAAATACAGACATGTGTATGATTCAGCTCTCAGAGATCACCGTGATCAACATGTTGTTAATAATTCTTGGAGAGAAATAGCTCGCACTGTCGGAAAAGACGAGGATGCTGTTAAAAATGGTGGAATGCCATGTTGTAAATAACAGTAATTTTTACTTCTAATATGGTGTATTGTTGGATGCATGCCATAGAGCTCCATGCTGCCCCCTACAGTTTGGGAGAATATTGGCTCACCGCAGAGACAAGCCGCATGAACCATAAACGCTGCGAGTTGTGAAGCGCGTTCCATCCGCGAGCCGCACCACCAAGCGGAAAGTAAACGCGTCAAGCCTAAACCAAGCTTTACAGTGACAGAGCTCTGAAACAACTCATTTTGGAAGGTACTGAAACTGTTAAAAATAAAACTGCTGAAATAGCTTTATGTGAGAGGGATTTAGTGCTAAGAACTTCATAAACTTGTTTAGTACCCACCATAGAACATAAGTCTGTTTTAAATCTCAAAAATAACCCTTTTAAAGTAAATTACTCGATAAAAGCACATGACAATAGTTTGTGAGTGTATAAGAAGTTGCAAATGTGGATTAATCTGTAGGAAAAGTGTGTTGAGATATCTGCAGGTACACTCAAATTCTGCAAAACATACTTCCTCCTCTTCCTCTTCTGGATGGGGGCGTTTAGAGGCCCTCACTTCAGCCACTTCTGGGGGTCCGTCCATCGTCCAATAGGAGCCCTGGGAACACAGGAAGGGTTTCTCTTCACTCTCTGTTTAACATTTGTTTCGTTTTGCCCGACGTGAGGCAAACGTTACGGTCAACCTTCAAAACAAATGTGAGCTCACTTTTCCGGGGTTGTTCTGAGGTCGAGGAACTTTCCTGAAGCATTTATTCAGGGAGAGATTGTGTCGGATGGAGTTCTGTAGAGGGACAGATGAGTGAGTCAGGCAGCTGGGGTAAGCATCAGCTGCTTCTGGAGATGCTCACCTTCCATCCTCGGCCCGCTCGGCTGTAGTACGGGAACGTGTCGCTGATCCAGGTGTAGATGTCATTTAAACTCAGCTTCCTCTCAGGTGCAGCTGCTATCGCCATGGCGATGAGAGTGGCGTAGCTATGAGGGGGCTTCCCTTTGCAGTTTGAGGGAGAGGGACTAGGTACTGGAGGTATGAAGTCCCCCCTCTCCCTCCCTCTTTCTCTCTTCTTCTCCCCTCCACCTCCTACACATCCTCCTCCTCTCTCTCTTCCAGAGCGCAAGCTGCTGATTCCCAGTTTGGGCAACCAGTCAATACTGGTGAGACTGGAGTCCAGTTCAGAAGACATGTTTATTTTTCTCTGTGGGACCAGAGGAACAGATGACTGGATCAGCAGATGTTTAGTTGGTGGTGCTTCTGGGTCAGAGAGGAGACCCAAACCGTCCCACAGGAGACTCTCCTCTACTGTAAGTGAGCCAATTGCTCTGTTCCTGTTCTGCCAGCCAGCGGCAAACACATAACTGTCAGCACACACACACACACACACACACACACACACACACACACACACACACACAGGAAATTTTCCATTCCCAGGCAAAGCCATGGCACAAATGTGTCGACATATAAGTGTACCACCTCCACTTTCACTGGTCCTTTTCTGAGGCAGAGGAGCATTTCCCTTTGCTTACCTGTCTGTGGTCACTCGAGGCCCAAGGCCTTGAACAGAGTTAATATTTTATGCTGTCATCAGCTGCTGACAAACTGGAGTCCGTCCTTCCCATCAGATCCCTTCTTCAGCTAGACGATCCTCCTCTATAGACCTTCGATCCCACCTTCCACTTCTGGAAGTTTGCTTAACTTCTGAAGAATTGTACACAAAATACTTATCGGAGAGCTTCCTTTTTCTCTCCCTCAGCTCTTACCCTCCCTTTCTGACTCTACCAGAAATACGTCACTCACTCCTCCCCCATGCGTGAGATCACTTTTTGTTTTAATACACCCGCCTCTGGGAGCTGGTTCCTCCTCCTCGGACTGACGGTTTGCACAGCAGAGAAACTCAACTTGAACTTTCCTCCACTCTGACATACATACATACATACATGCATACATACAAGTACATACAAGTCTGGACACATTCCAAATAAAATAATCACTTTATTAACGTGCACATTTTATCAGTGTGATGGTAACTGAGAGGTGATGATGAGGGGATTCTTCTACAGAGCACTGAAGAAGGCAAGGAG